TGCTTTAGACCACTGAGCCATCTCACCAGCCCCCCATTGCCCATTTTTGATTGGGTCTTTATGTTATGTTATTTTAGGCATCTATTTTTTTAGTTTTTTATATATTCTAGACATTGGTCTTCAGTCTGAAGAATAGCTGGCAGTTTTTTCTCTGATGTGTGGTTGGTTGTTTCCTTTGCTGTTTGGAAGATTTTTGATATAGTCCCATTTGATTTTTTTTTTTTTTTTTTTTTTTTTTGAGACAGGGTTTTGCTGTATAGTTCACGCTGGCCTTGAGCTCACTTTGTAGCCCAGGATCATCTTGAATGCATAAAGATCCTCTTGCCTCAGCCTCCTGAGTGCTGGGATTACAGTTGTGTACCACCACACCCGACCTACTATTTGATTTTTGATACTTGTGCAGTTGGGGTGCTGTTCAGAAAGTCTTTTCCTTTGCCTACATCTTCAAGAGTTTTAACTATTTGATCTTTTAGTAGATTGTTTCTATTTAAGATTTAGATCTTTGGGCTGGCCAAATAGCTCATAGGATTAAAATGCCTGCAAGCAGGTGCAGGGGCCTGGGGTTTGATCCCCAGGCCTGCTGTGCTGGCCCTGCCCCCAGGGTGCACTGAGGCACAATTGACACTGGGCATGGTGGTGTGCACCTGTAATCCCAGTCTTGGGAGGCTGTAAACAGGTGAATCACTATGAGTCTGATCCAGTAGTGAGACCCTGAACACCCTGTAGACCCTTCCCTAAAATAAAAAAAATAAAATAAAGATTTAGATCTTTGATCTTTGATCTACTTTGATTTTAGTTTAGTACACGGTGAGAAATATGGGTCTAGATTCAGTCTTCTCCATCTAGTTATCTTTTCCTCTAGGGAAAGAGGCCCCTTTGTCAAAAGTCAGATAGCTAATGCTGCTAGGGTTGTTTTTGCATTATCTATTTGTTCCACTGATCCATTTAGTGGTACTTTGCTTTTGTGCTACTGACATGCTGTTTATATCTCTGTAATTTTGTAGTTACTTTAAAGTCTGCACCTTTTGTTGTTCTTGATTGTAAGGTTTCCAGTCTTAACAATTTACACAACAGAATTTAAAATAAATGTAAAAGGTTTTTACATTTTCATTTGTGAAAAGTATGTAGAAAGTCAAGAAAGTAATAAATAAATATATATATATATATATATACACACATATATAATAGTTCCTATTTTTTCCTTTTTTTAAAGCTGAGCCATTATCTGGATATTGTGGAAGTAAACATTGCTCACCAGATCTCTCTACGTTCAGAAGCATTTTTTCATGCAATGACCTCTCAACATGAATTGCAGGACTACCTCAAGAAAACTTCCCAGGCTGTAAAAATGCTTCGAGATAAAATTGCACAGATTGATAAAGTAATGTGTGAAGGATCACTACAGATTTTAAGACTGGCACTTACCAGAAATAATTGTGTTAAAGTATACAATAAACTGAAATTAATGGCCACTGTACACCAAACTCAGCCTACAGTACAGGTGTTATTATCTACTTCTGAATTTGTTGGAGCATTGGACTTAATAGCAACAACTCAAGAGGTTCTACAGCAGGAACTTCAGGGTATTCACAGTTTCCGGTATGTTAGTTAAGCCTTTAGAAATGCTAGAAAATTTTAAAGGATAAATATTAGCGTATAATGCTAAAAGTATGGATGTAGTCAAAGTAAAATGTCTTTTTTCTTTCTAGATTTATTTCTTTAATAATGTTATTCAATATGCAGTACTAGCAAAACAAAGAATCATAAGAAAAATATTTATAGTAGAGAAGCAAAGGGCTGGCCAAATAGCTCAGCGGATTAAAGTGCCTGCAAGCAGATGCAGGGGCCCGGGCTTGATCCCCAGGCCTGCTGTGCCAGCCCCACCCCTGGCACACTCTGAGATGGCAATTGAGACTGGGCATGGTGGGACGCACCTGTAATCCCAGCTCTTGGGAGGCTGTAAACAGGCGGATCACTGTGAGTCTGATCTAGTAGTGAGGCCCTAAACACCCTGTAGACCCTTTCCTAAAATACAGAAGAAAAAGTAGAGAAGCAAAATTAAATTTTTTACAAGATGAGATAAATACAAAGCAGTCATAACTTTGAAAATAACATTTTAAAAATATTGAAATAGCTTTGTGTTAAAATGGTAGACTGAGGTGGAGAAGTGAATGCCAATATATTTAAAGTTAAATTTATGTGAAAGCTTTTAATAGGTTTTTAATTGAATAATTATTGAGGTTCATTTCATTTCTTTTCTTTTTTGGGGGGTGGGGTACTGAGGATCGAACTTGGGACCTTGCACTTGTAAGGCAGGCGCTTATGCTGCTGAGTGAGCACCCTAGCAAGATTCATTTCTGATTTGCATTTTATCACATTGCCTAAGATTCTACATGGTGATTTTAAAGACCTAGTCTTCTACCTTCCCACTTTAAAAATACCTTTTTTTTTTTTTTTTTTTTTTTAATGTATTTGGTTGTTGCAGGGTCTCACTACACAGCTCAGACTTGTGGTGATCCTTCTGCTTTCAGCCTCCCTAGTGCTGGGATTATAGGCATGTGCCACTACTCTTGGACTCTGGCCTACTCAGCGGCATATAGTCTTGGGGATCAAATCACGGTTCCTGTGCTTTTGCCTAGGCTTACCTAAGCAGGTGCTTTAGTCTGCTGAGCTATCTTGCTGGCCCAAAAAATACGGGTTTATTTGAGGGGGAGGTTTGGGGGAAGAATAGACTATAATTTGATTTTGAATTTACACATAGTTAAAATATGTTAAGATTAGAGTTTTAGATTTTTTTTTAATTTAGAAATTTATTTATTTACTTACTTATTTGATACAGGGTCTCTACACAGTTCAGACTTAGTGATCTTCCTGTCTCAGCTTCCTCAGGGCTGGGATTACAGCCATGTGCTACCTTACCTAGTTTCCAGCTGGCATGGAATGCCCAGGGTTCTAGAGTCAATATGGCATGTGGTACTGAGGATCAGACTTGGGTCCTTGCGCTTGCCAGGCGGGTGCTTAGACCACTGAGCTATCTCCCTACCCAGAGTTTTAGACATTTTGTGTGAAATCACATAAGTATTTGTCTTATAGACTAGTGTGAGCTGTGAAAATTTCGTTCAGTTAAGCAGATTTTTAACATGCACAAGGCCCTTTGTATAGTCCTCATCACTGCATATATGATTTTTTTAAAGACTTCTAATGCTGTGAGTGTCCATATTTTGCTCAAATATCTTTTTTCTTTAGCTCCTACATATGTAAAGGATGTTTATTCTTTTATGTAAGCCATTTATATAATGCCACCTGTTGTATCAGTCCCATTATGATTATAACTTTGAGCTTGACATCAGAACTTGAGTATGTGACTTCTGATAAGTATCTTTACATGCAAATTATTTTCAAATTAAAAAATGCTATAAATGTTTTTTTAATAAAAGAAAAGTACTAACACATCTATGAAATAGCTTAAGACTAAGTTATAACCTAGATTTTTTTGTTTTACGTTTCTGTCATATCTATCTTACAATATATTGTCTTGACTTTATCTTTCCTTTTTCTATAAATTTTTTGTTTTAATGTATTTGGTACAGGGTCTCACTACACAGCTTGGACTTGTAGTGATCCTCCTGTTTTCAACCTCCTGAGCACTGGGATTACAGGCGTGCTCCACCACTCCCAGACTTGGTGGCCTGCTCAGTGTACCTGGGAGCAGTGCAGGTGTGGCACATGTTGCTGGGGATCAAATCCCAGTCCCTGCTCTTGCCTAAGCAGGCGCTTAGTCCGCTGAGCTTTCTCACTTGCCTTTGTAAAATTCTTGAACATCAGTATTATATTACTTTCCTTTAGAGCTTCAAGATAATTTTACATCATATAACTTTATTTGGAAATAAAAGAATTAGTTGTGAACCCTTATGTTTTTGTTTAATCAACCAGGAGAAAGGCATTTATTGTAAGTTTCTTGTGTACCATAAGCATTAGTGGTAGAAAATGTGTTCTCTTTAGCTTAGGGCATAAGAGGTATTTTATCTAATCTCACCTCTCCTTTTAGGACATGGGACTTACTGTTTTTTGTTTTGTTTTGTTTTGTTTTTTGAGAGTGAGTCTTTTTATATAGTCCACACTAGGTTCTAGAACCTCCTACCTTAAACTCCAGAATGGTAGGATTATAGTGGGTATTTACCACTGTACCTTTGTGCAGCATATTTCAGAAAAGCATTTACAGTAGTCATATTTAAAATAAAAACTTCCTTTAATAATAAAACAAAGTGTTCTAAGTTATTAAAATAGTTTTTCTACTTTATAGATCTTAGTACAAGTTTTACTTTTTGTTGTAGATTTTTTTTTTCTTTTTTTGTACCAGAAATCAAACTCAGGACTTTTGCTTTCAGGGCAGGTATTTATGCCACTGAGTTATCTTACCGGCTATTGTTGTAGTCTTTTGTTTTAAAATGTATTTGGTACAGGGTCTCACTACCCTGCTAAGACTTGTAGTGATCCTCCTGTTTTCAGCCTCCCCAGGACAGCATTGGTGCCTGGACTCCAACCCAGGTCCCTGTGCTTGCCTAAGCATACGATTAATCCACTGAGCTATCTCACCTGCCCCTGTTGTACTATTCTTTCTGTTGCTTTTTTACCCTTTTTGTCTTTTTTTTTTTTTTTTTTTGGAAGGGGGTTGTTTTGAGACAGGATCTCACTATGCAGTTCAAGCTGTCTTTGAACTCAACTATGTAGCCTAGACTGGCCTTGAACTCATGGCAGTCCTACTCGTTCAGCATCCTGAATGCTAAGATTACAGATGTGCTCTACCACACACAGCATTCTCTTACTTTTAAAGGAAAAAATTATACCAGAGTCTTCCAATAATCAGATTATTGCAAATAGAAATCTATTTTTTAAAAATAATTAAAATACTTTAATCACTACATTTATTTTTTATTTTTTATTTTTATTTTTAGGGAAGGGTCTGCAGGGTGTTCAGGGTCTCATTACTAGATTGAACTCATAGTGATCCACCTGTTTACAGCCTCTCATAAGAGCTGGGATTACAGGTGCGTGCCACCACACCCAGTCTCAATTGCCATCTCAGTACACTCCGGGGGCAGGGCTGGCATGGCAGGCCTGGGGATCGAGCTCCCGGCCCCTGCGCCTGCTTGCGGATGCTTTAATCCACTGAGCTATTTGGCTGGACCTGTGTTTTCTTGTCTACTGTTAATATATTTCTTTTAGTCACTGGTAGTAAACAGTGCTTATTGTCTTTTGTCTTACTACTTTTGAAGATTTTGACCTTGAATTTATTTTCAATATAAATTTTGTGTTTTAACTTCTGAATACCCAGAACACTCTGTACTTTCTAATGATATCTTAAAAGCAGTCTGTCATACATTATTGTCTTCTCTTTGTTTTTTCCTCCATATTTTATTATCATTTATGGATTTTAAATAAACATTGGGCTTTAACTCCCTTGTATAAGACCTATGTCATGCACATCTTAATACAAATTTATGGATCCTGTAGATTATCCAGATATTAACAAGCATTTTGACACTTTTCTACCATTCTTTTTCTTTCCATAATTTTTATTCCTAATTAACCATGTATTATATATATACATACATATATACATATATATATATATATCTGTTTATATATATACATACATATATACATATATATATATATATCTGTGATTCTTAATATTGGCTGCATCATAGAAGCACAAAAAGAGCTTTGAAAAGATGTAGCACAATCCACACAAATTTACAAGAGAAGCCTGACAATCCAAATTCATTCTTAATTGTATATATATATTATATTATATTATATTATATTATATTATATTTCTATATGGACTCATAAAGGCATGGGCATAATGGTACCGTACCCAGTAAACTTCCTAATGAATTCTTATGACTGTTATCAGGCTTTATTGAGATTAGGCTAAAGTTGTTAGTAAACTTATAAAAGACTGCTATGGTAACACTAAACCTAAGTGGTCTCTTGTCTGTTAGTTTGGTTTGAATTATTAATTCTCTCCTGTAGACCCAGAGACATAGCTTGTGTAAGAATTGCTAAAGTTAAAGTTGAACTTGCCTGAGTGAAGATAATAGGTTGTATGATCTATGAGGAAAGTGTATAGTCTGAGATTGCAAATAGTTGGTCCCAAAGCCTAACCACATTAAGAGTGTACTTGGCATTACACATGACTCAGACACTTCCAGTGCTGGCTTCTTTATACTGCCAGTTTTGACAAAAGAGCTTTGTTTGTTTTTTATTTTACAACTTATGCCTAATTCTGCAGGATCGCAAGTAACTATTTTAATTCATTGTGATTACTTACTGGTAATAATAGGGCTGATGACATTTTACTAGATCACTGGTTATAATTTGGGACAACAACTGCTACATTGACCTTCATTTCGCCCAGTGTGTTCAAGGCTGGTATGATCAGAGGATCAGGAATACAATTGTCTCAATTGTGAATTCTTACCCATTACCTCCCTTTGTGAACATGGAAATGGCCACCTGGGTTTTCCCATTTCCTAAAGGGCTTTGGGATGGACCTATATTGGCTGATAATTAAGATGCGAACATTCCATTCATTAGTCTGATCAAGCTATTAATTTTTAGACTATAGAACAAAATATGAAACATTTTATGTTCAATCCATATTTGTCTTGCACATTATAAATTTTTTTTTATTTTTTATTTTTTTAAAATTTTGTGTGTGTGTGTGTGGCCAGCTCAGCCCACCAGGGGGCGGGGCTGGCTGGCATGTGGTGCTGGGGGATTGAACCGCGGTCCCTGTGCTTTGCTTAGTTTAGCTTGTTCTAAGTAGGTGCTTTAGACCACTGAGCCATCTCACCAGCCCCTATATTTTTATTTTTTAGAAATATAGGGGAAGGGAGATAATAATGCCCTTGGCATAATTCATGAAAGCAGCTGTGACCTCTAATCGTTTACTTCATTTCAAAACTGTTTCTAATCACAATGAAAAATTTCTTTAAAATATAATTGTACCTTTCACTTGTGGATGTCTATAATTTCATCCGCAGAATTTTCCCAAATCTGTATTGGCATTGAAAGGACAAAACATTATATTGGTGGGTTTTTCCACTAATTATTTTTTGGGGCATTATTTTCCCAACACAAAAGAGGGTTTTTTTTCTCAGTATAATAAAAATTGAAAATCTCTATGTGTATTCAATAGTAAATAGACAAATTTTATTTTTTATTTCCACTTGAAGAGTTACATTTCATATAAATTTTACAAATAACGGTTTTTATTTTGATTTTTTCAGTATAAAAAAATTGCCTTGATGGTATATTACGATATAATACTAATTGCTTGTAGGATAGTTAAATGTCATTATTGAAACCTAATCTTTAGCTGCTGTCTTATAGATATGAATGAATGTTCATCAAATATGTATTTTGTATTTTGTCACATTGTACACTGCAACTAATAAGCCAAGGAATCGACATATATAGGTGTGTGTACTGTTTCTAAAAACCACAAACTGAGAATGATAAATTATCAATACAGTTTAGTATTTGCTCATTTTACTACACTCTTTTGTTATGTATATGTAGGGAAGTCATAGAGATTATAAATTCAATTTGAGTAAAGTTTAAAACCAAATATTTTATGTTAAAGGTCCTTTAACTTAAGATGGCCAAAGCACTGATATTATATATTTGCTGTAAAGAGAATTATGAGTTTTATTTTTCTGATATTAAGTTATTTAATAAAGGCTTGTTTCCATTAAAAAAAAAAAAGAGAAGCCTGAGCATTGTAATTTTTAAAAGTTCTTTAAGAGATATTTATGTGCACCAGAATTGAGAAACCACTGGTTGCTCTACTATCTTAGGAGTTAGAATTAAAGTGGTAGCTTCTTCCTACATAAATTTGTTCTTATTAAAGCAAAATTGTCAACTAAAACATCCTTCTGTCTCTATTCAAAAAAGTACATATATGGTGTCAGAAGAATCATCAGATTATAAGTCTGATCTCCTAAACCTAAAGAATAATTTACGCAGTGGAAAGTGTTGGCTCGTTATGTAACTCATAATTATTACAATGGTTCTTTTGTACATTTGTTGATTTTGTAATTTAAAAAAAATTAATACCTTTATTGCCTAAACTATTGCAAAATTGGACATTTTTATTATTAGGACAGATATTTGTAACTGTTACACATGAAATTAAGTTTAGCTATTTACCAATAAAAATAATCACTGAAATATTTATGCCCTATACTACCTTAACTAAAAGTATTTTTAACATTAATGTTTAAACACTTATGCAGATATAATATAGAGTTTTCTTTTTTTTTTGGCAGAACCGGGGATTGAACTTAGGCCTTTGTGCTTGCCAGGGAAGCGCTTATCCCACTGAACCATCTCCCTGGCCCCTAGAGTTTTCAATATAGGTTTAAGCATACATTTGAATGTTGATAAGTAGAAGGTTAATATAGAAGATCTTCAGTTACTTTGAAATTCAGAACTGTTGTTGCTTGTTTTTGTTACTATGTGTAGGTTTGTGCAGAAACTTAGTGTTCCTTACTGTTACTAATTTTCTTTCCTTACTACTTACTACAACTATTATCTTACCATCCATTACCATATAACTGACTACATTTACTATGTAAGTACTGTAAACCATGTACTGTGCTAAATTTATTGCATATATTAATTGACTTAACCTCACAGGGTAAGGGGGTAGGTAATGTTATTACCATTTTCACAGGTAAGTAAAACTGCAGTCTTAGATAACTTGCTTCAGGTCATATAGTAAGTTATGAGACAGAGTAGAATTTCAAACTATATATCATCAGACCTGAGAGTTACACTTTTTAATATATTTTGTGGAACATCATATAGAACCTTAAAATACAAGTGCCAGTTTTATAATGCTATAGATGTTGAATCTGTGACCATTTGGACTATAGGCTTATTGATTCAGAACTACTATAGTAATTGATTTTATGATAACAATGATTTATTTTCTAATTGTGAGGCTTTCTTGTTTTGAAAGAAAAAATGGAAAACATTCAGAGTTAACTATATGGTTTAGTTTGTTGTGGTTTCATTGATCAGAGCCTACCTTAGGATTCCATTTCAATAATATTTTGTTATTGATTTGAAAGTGGAGTGAGTTTGTGATAATTAAATGAAAATATATATATAACATATTTCTCTTTTGTAGGCATTTGGGATCACAGCTTTGTGAATTAGAAAAACTGATAAGTAAAATGATGATTGCAGAATTTTCTACTTATTCTCATAGTGACTTAAATAGACCACTGGAAGATGACTGTCAAGTTTTAGAAGAGGTATATGTTTTAAGCTATGGAATGTGATGTTACTGCTTAATGTTAGTTCCCAGCACTGGTTTTAAACACATTTTTCTCATATTATTATAAAATCACCTTAAATTTCAGGTTCTTCATTAACCATGTGACTTTACCAAGCACCATAAACTTTCAGTATCCTTTGAAATTTGAGGATGAAATAATTGTGTATCTTTCTTAGAAATAGGAGTTAGACTAAGGCTTTTCTAGCCTACAAATGAAGCTCAAAATATAAGTGTAAGACAAATGAATTATATTCTAAATGTGCATGTGTTGAAGAGTTTCATGTAAAGTGACTTTTATATGGTAAGTTATTACTCATTCAAATTCCTTGAATACCTTATGAAAACAGAAACATGAACACGTTTTTGTTTTTGTTTTTGTTTTTGTTTTTGTTTTGGTGGAACTAGGGATTGAACTCGGGCCCTTGCCCTTGCCAGGCAAGCGCTTATTCTACTGAGCTATCTCTCTGGTCCTCATGAACATGTTTTATGCCAGGCAGATGTAAATATATCTTGGCTTCACCTATTTGGTAACTTCTCATTCTTAATCATTGCCAAGAACTAGTATGAAATCTAAAAGGCCTTAACTGATAATAGTATAAGAGATACACACTGGAAGTTGATTTCCACTTGAGAGCTTGAGAGTCTATGCCATCATTTCTGTCTTCTAGACCACAATTTAAAAAAAAGGCTGAGGGCCTATTTGTTGGTTATCAGGGGCTGAAAAAGGTATTTTCTAATGCCTAGTTTTCATGTGAAAAATAGGCCAAAAAAAATTCTCTTTTTATTTTCCCAAAACAGCTTCATTTGATCCAGTTGTTAGAGAAGGAGTTATCTATTTTTTTAATACATTTAAAAATTTACTTATTTATTTGTTTGTTTGATACAAGGTCTCGCTATGCAGTTTAAAAGTAGTGATCTTCCTGTCTCAGCCTCTCCAATGCTGGGATTACAGGTGTGCGCCACCATGCCTGGGTTTGGGGGTGGCATCCATGATTCTGGGCCAGCGTGGCATGCGGTACCAGGGATTGAACTCTGGTCCTTGTGCTTGCCAGGCAGGTGCTTAGACCTCAGAGCTATCTTCCGCAGCCCAGGATTTATCCATTTTATAATGGGGACTTTAAAATCTTATGACAAGATTGCTAGAAGGGGTTTTTTAGACTTCTAGAAATACCATGTGCTTGATTGAGCTTAATTCTGAATATTCCTTACTCTAAGTCAGATTATCTCAAATTTAAAATGTGAAATTACATATTTTTCTCTTTAATAGGAAAGATTAGTATCTCTTATATTTGGACTTTTAAAACAAAGAAAACTTAATTTTTTAGAAATCTATGGTGAAGAAATGATTATTACAGCAAAGAACATCATTAAGCAGGTAATTATGCATTTTTGTTTCATGTAGCCTTTAATCTTTTGACTTTATTTTTGTTATCTATTAATATATGTAGGTTACAGTATGGTACTAACACTTGCTCATTAAAAAATGGGAAATACGGAAAAATTGAATAAAAACATAACACTTCCAGCTAAGATAATCACTTATATTTCTACATGAAGATCATTACTGATTTTGTTGTTGGTGTCATAATATATATGATTTTGAACATACATTTCAGTTAAAATCAACATAAGCATTATCTTATGTTATTACAAAAACTTCAGAAACATCAGTATTAATGGTTGTTAAAATTTCACTAGTCTTATATTGGGTAAACCTGTGTGAACTTTCCTGTACTTTGAACATTTAAGTTGTTTTCAGTTTGATACTGTAGATGATTCTATGACAGATGTCTTTGGTGCCTGTATATGATATATCTTAATTTTTTTTTATTGTCCCCATTCCTCTACCATCCTTCAACTCTTCTTGTCCTTATTTTTTTTTTTTTTAAGGTATTTAGTACAGGGTCCTCAGGGTCTCACTACACAGATCGGGCTTTTAGTGATCCTTCCTGTTTTTCAGCCTCCCAAGCACTGGATTACAGGAGCTCACAACCATGTCCAGTCTCAGTTGCAGTCTCAGTGTGCCTCAGGGGCCGGGCCGGCATGCAGGCTGTGGATCGAATCCCCAGTCCTTGCATCTGCCTAAGCAGGTGCTTTAATCTGCTGAACTATCTGTCTGGTCCTTCCTGTCCTTATTTATAAAAGCTTTGTTTCCATTTTGTTTTTCTCTTGTTCTTTTTCTTTTCTTCAACCCTGTTCCTTAATTCATTTGATAATTTTCTTCCTATTTGGTAATGTGTGGTATACATTTTAGTCTTTATTTACACTTTCAGTTTCTCACAGCAGAGAAACTGTGTGATATTTACATATGTGTGTTCAATTTATTTCCCTTAAGAGTATGGTCTCAAGATGCATTCATGTACTTAGAAATGTCTCAGTTTTATCCTTCTTTAAGACTGAGTAGTACTCCATTGTATACAAAAATTTCATCATTCATGGTTCATGGTGATTTGGGCTATTTGCTATTACAGACTGGTCCACAATACACATAGATGTGCATATATAACTGCGGTATGATGCTTTTATTTCAGGAAGATATCAAGAAGGGGAATAGCTGGGTCAAATGGGACCTCTAGGTCTAGTGTTTTGCAGCATCTCTACACTGACTTCCACTGTAGGTGCACCAGTCTACACTCCCACCAGCAGTGGAAAAGGGTTCGTTTTGCCCCGCAGCTCCTCCAACATTTGTTATTGGATAATTTCTTGAAGATAGACATTCTTTCTGTAGTGAGATGAAATCTCAGTTTTTCTAAATTTGTATTTCTTGAATGACCAGTGATGTTGAACACTTTTTCTTATATTCATTTGCCATTTGTACTTCTTCATTTGAGAAATATCTATTCATTTCAGATGCCTATTTTTGGATTAGGTCTTTAAATCTGAGATGTCTTTTTTTTTTTTTTCCCGAGTTCTTTATGTATTCAGATATTAGATCTTTGTCAGAGAAACAGCTGACAATTTTTTTTTTGTCACACTATGGGTTTTTTCTTTCAGCCTACAGGTGGTTTTTCTTTGTAATATTTCCTGTGCACTTGGGATTTTTGTTCATAAAGTATTTGCTTACACCTATGTTTTCAAAAGTTCTACCTATTCTCTCTTCCAGCAGATTTAGTACTTATGTATTAAAATTTAGATTATTGATCCATTTTGACTTTAATTTAGTGTATAATGAGAGATATGGATCTCTTTAATTAAAAGTCTTTAAGACTTGTAATCTTTGGCACATGAAACGCCATTTTTTCCAGCACCATTTATGAAAGAGGTTATCTTTCTTCCAGTGAACATGTTTGTCTTCTTTGTTAAAGATAAGGTGGCTAATTGTGTTTGGAGTTGTGTCTGCATCTTCTAATCTGTTCCATTGATCCTCGGGCCAGTTTTTTATTGTTTTGGTTTTTGTGAGTAGCATGCTGTTTTTATCACAGTAGCTTTGTAGCATAATTTCAAGCCAGGGATTGTGATGCCCCCTGCATTACCTTTGTTGCTCAAAGTTGCTTTTGCTATTCTAGGTTTCTTCTGGTTTCAAATACTTTTTAGGATTGTTTTCTCTAATTCTGTGAGGAATGCTATTGGTATTTTCATTGGGATTGCATAAAATCTGTGTAACAATTTTGGGAGTATGGACATTTTTACTATGTTAATTGTTCCTATCCAAGAGCAAGGGATAGCTTTCCATTTTCCGATATCCTCTTCTATCTCTTTTTTCAGAGTGCTATACTTCTCAATGTAAGGATTTTTTAATTCCTTTGTTAGATTGATTCCTAAGTATTTCATTGTTTTGAATGGTATTGTGAAAGGTGTTGTTTCCCTAATTTATCTCTCAGTGAGTATGTTATTTGCATTATATTGATTTTTGAGTGTTGACTTTATATCCAACTAAATGACTGAATATCATTATTAAATCTAAGAGTCTTTGGTGGAGTTTTGGGGGTCCTTTTTATAGAAAGTATCATGTCATTTACAAATAATGATAATTTTTCTTTTCCTATCTTATTCCTGTATTGAATAGGAGTGGTGACAGTGGAAATTCTTGTCTTGTTCCTGATTTTAGATTGAAAATTTTTCTTTGTAGGTGATTTGTTTCTTTTCTCTAACAGGTTTTAATATTGTTCTTATAGTGAATTTCTGGAATATTAATTATTTTACTTGGTAAATTTCTGGCATATTGATTGTTTTATGCTTGGTGATTTATTTGGTCATGGCTAATTGGGGTTCTATACATCACATATGTGTACATTAAATTTTTTTCCTAGGACAGCAAGATAGCTCAGCAGACTAAGCACCTGCTTAGGCAAATGCAAAAACTAGGGTTCATGCCGTGCTAGCCCTGTCCCCAGGCACCGTGAGCAGGCCACCAAGACCTGGTGTGGTGGTGCACAGCTGTAATGCCAGCACTGGGGAGGCTGGAAACAGGAGGCTCACTGCAAATCTGAGCTGCATAGTGAAACCCTGTACCAAATACATAATAAATAATAAATAAGTGAAAATTTTTTCCATGCTTGGTAAGTTTTTTGCCATTACTCTTATGAACAGGCATTTTATGATATTTGTGCTGTTTGTTGCTTTCTCATTGACTTCATCAATGTTATGTTGTTCTTTGCATCATTTTGCAGCTGTTGGGTTGATTTCTTTTATTGTACCTTGTTATTTTTAAGAAATCTTTCTTTTGGTGATAACTATCTGCAGTCCCATTTTCTAGATCTAATATTCTGTCCTCATCTTTGTTCAGTTGGCTGCATATGCTTTTATGGAACTTGTAATCTTCTGGATATCTGTTTATATCTGTTTAGTGCTTTTCTTATCTTTCTTGTATATTGGACATTTATGTTTTCCATTATTTTCCTAAGAGCATCTATTTTTTTTTTTTAATTTGTGTCTACTCTAGGCTCACTGAGCAAGTCCTTCGTTTTAATTGCCATCTTTTTTTTTAACCTGGTAATTTTTTTTTTTCCAGTACCTGGGATCAAACTCAGGACCCTGCACTTGCCAGGCAAACTCTTATTCCACTGAGCTAGCTCCTCAGCCCCTCTGGTGAATTATTTCTGATCTGAATTTTCTCTATAGCTTCATTCATCTATTTTTTTTTTTCTGCTGCTGCTGCTACCATTCAGAAAATTTAGGTGGGTGGCTTCTGATTTCCTCTAAGTCTGGGACTACATTTTACTTTTATCTTTTGTTATTTTCTACATTTGTATTTTAATTTGTTTTTTCTGTGATGCTTATACATTTCTTATGGTATGTATCTTTCTCACTAGTATTAAGACTTCCTTAGGCAATGTCTGTTCCTCAGAGATGTTTTCTAGGTGTAGCTGGCTCTTAGTCTGCGTGTCTATCCCGAGATCCTACCTTCTCAGTTTATTAGAGATGAGAACTTGCTGTCTGTTTGGCTCGGCACCCAGTCCTGTGGTACTGGATTATGATGATGACCCCAGGCAATCACAGTTTTGTTATATAAGGGAGAACAATTTGTTATAATAGGTATAACATCCTGGCTAACATAGCACTGTTAGCTATGATCATAGCATCAAGCACAGCCTAGGTAGTGACGTACCATGTTAACTATTAATTTTGTACCTTTAAATATAGTAGCACAATCTACAGTTACGTAACAAAATCCAACATAAATCAGGAACTTGTTTAAAGTGAGTTTCCTCTTAGTAGAGTGATTTTGACCCTTTGCTGGTAGTGGTAGGGCTGAATTTAAGAAGGATAGGGGAAAAACATATATATATATATATATATGGAAAGAATTATAGTAGAAACAAGGCTATAGGACAAGGGATGATCTCTGAAGCTTTAAGAAACTGAAAAAGAGAACAAGAGAGAAAGAATGGAAAAAGCAAAAGAATATCAAAGTAAACCAGAAAGACTGGAGACAGTGTTTACCTACATAACAAAAAAAAAATTTTTTTTTTTGGTTTTCTTTTTTTTTTTCTTTTTTTTTTTTTTGCAGAACCAGGGATTGAACTCAGATCCTTGCATTTGCCAGTCAAGCGCTTAGCCTACTGAGCCATCTCCCCAGCCCTAAAAATATATATATTTTTTAAAAAGACATTTGAGAGAAAAAAAGGTGAACAAAATAAACAATAAATACTATATATTGAAATAAAAATCTAAATAAGAAAATCTAAAAAAGACCAAATCATGATATCCTCTAGTGTGCATAGTTTTGTAGTGGTACCCAAGTCAGAGCCTAAAACTGTGTTAATCCCACCAAGTCTGCTGTAGGATTAGTTTTGAGTTGGGGGCTCATCTTTGACTCCAGATCTAGGGGCGGAGGCTAGTTTTCATCTAGTAACTTTATGTCTCTGGGTAGTCCGCCCACGTTTCCTTATCATTCTTGTCTCTGCCTTGCTCTCCCAGTTTCTGTGGCACCTTCAGACAGAGACACCCTGAAGCTGCTCCCAGTCCTTATACAGCCTTCTCTGTTCCACTCCCATTGCAGTCTACCTCTTTTTATGCTGCTGGTCACGGGGGTAGGAGAAACGCTGCCTGCAAAGTCAACCCAAGTTTTCTTGGTCCTACTTCTTTTTCCTTTCTAGCAAGGGTAGTGCTGACTTTCTACTTATTGCCCTGTCATGGTCCAAGGCTGTGTAAATACCATCTGTGTTCCTCTCTCATGCCATTGGTCTCATGATAGGAGAGGTGTATTGTTCCACTCACTACTTTACTGTAGCCACCACAGTCCCTATGCCTAGAGTTTCCAGTTAGCTGATATGGTGCACAAGAAAGAAGGAAAGAAAAATTTGGTGACCCATTGGGAAGGGAGCAGCTTCCTGGTCACCTGCCTCTGTGTATGCATGCAAAATTTGTTGCCTGGCTAGGATATCCTTTGTTTGGAAGAAGGCAAAAGAGGCAAGAGGCCATATATCCCAAATTTATTTTGTGTGACTTGAGTTTGCTGCTGGTGTGGTCCATCACCTTTCAGGGAACTTCCCAGAATGAGTTTCTGTTTTATGCACAGGTGTATTTCCCACAGGCAACCCTATAGGCTACATGTCATCTTATAAAATTCTGTGCCTTTGTTTCTTTGATCTATAGTTATTTCAGATTGATTTTGGCATCAGGATATATGTCCTCTCTTTCTTCCAATTACCTATATGTTTAGATGATTTTCTCTGAATAACTCCAACATGGCTCTAATTCAGTCATGTTGAATCAATCAAGTCTGTTTTTCTTATTTAAGACTGCTTCTTAGACTGATATCCAAAAGTTGAATGATTGGTCAGAAAGTAAGAAGTATTTTTAAATTTTTTTAAATTTTTTTTTTTTTAACATTTATTTATTTGTGTGTGTGTGTGTGTGTGTGTGTGTGTGTGTGTGACCAGCTCAGCCCACCAGGGGGCGGGGCTGGCTGGTATGTGGTGCTGGGGGATCGAACTGTGGTCCCTCTGCTTTGCCAAGCTTGTTCCAAGTAGGTGCTTTAGACCACTGAGCTATCTCACCAGCCCAAGAAGTATTTTTAAGTTGCTTGATACATAGAACTGGATTGCTGCTTGAAAATCTTATACTTCTATCAGAAATAGGTAAATGTTAATGTCCTTTTTATGGTGATATCTAGCAAATTATAAACTAAACTCTGTTGTTTTGTTTTTCTTGATTTTTGCTTTTTTATTCTCATAAGCCTCACCTAATGAATTTCAGTTTTTTTATAAATGAAAAAGATATTTTAAATATTTACAAGGCTTAATCATTATCTTTAGGTTGAATGTACATTAATGAGTCTTTAATGTTTATAAATTTTTTAAAAACTGCATTCACCTTTTCTTATATCTCTTTAATTTTTTTTTCTTTTTTTCTTTTTTTCTTTTTTTTTTTTTTTTTTTTTTAGGGAAGGGTCTACAGGGTGTTAGGGTCTCACTACTAGATTGGACTTGTAGTGATGCTCCTTTTTACAGCCTCCCAAGTACTGGGATTACTGGGTGCGCCACCACTCCCAGTCTCAATCACTCAGTACTCCCTGGGGGCGGGGCCAGCATAGCAGGCCCAGGATTTAACCTCTGGCCCCTGTGCCTGCTTGCAGACACTTTAATATGCTGAGCTATTTGGCCTGCCCTTTATATCCCTCTCAAACACTGATTAAGACACTGTATTTTTAATCTGGTATAGCCACTTTGGAAAACTGACAGGAGAATCTACTAAATATGTACACATTATAAACCAGCATTTCTACTCATACATATTCATACAACATAAATTCTTCAATAAGTTTGCCAAAACACAGTAGAATAGGGCCAGCCAGATAGCTCAGTGGAGAAACCTAGGGACTAGGGCTTGATCCCTGGGGTACCCTGCCCCAGGGTTGCACTGAGACAGTGATTGAGACTGGGCACAGTGGTGAGTGCCTGTAATCCCAGCGGTTGGGAGGCTGAAAACAGGAGGATCACTATAAGTCCAATCTGTGTAGTGAGACTTTGTATACCCTGTACTAAATACATTAAAAAAAAAAGAGAGAGAATAATGTTCACAGCTGCACTACTTATTTAAAAAAAGAAAACAACTTGAGCTCCATTATCAGTAAAAAGGATAAATAAAATTGTGGTGTATTTTTGCAATGAAATACTGTACAGCACTGAAAATAAGTAAATTACTCCAAACTGCTTAAATGAACATTACAGACAGTGCAAAAGCAAAGAAAGCCAGATACAGAGTAAATAGTGTATAAGTCCACTTGTGTAAAATTCAGACAAGCAAAATTACTGTATTGTTTATAAATAAGATAGTATCTTTTTGGAGGAATCAGTAGCTGGGCAGAGAGCTGGAAAGAGGCCTGGGATACTGACAGTGTTCAGTTTCAAAAGCTGAGTTCTGGTTGATGAGATGTTATCCATTTGTAAAAAGTATTTTAAACATATTATATGATTTATATTTTTACATTTTAAGCAAAAATTTTAACACCTGTGTGTAAGCACTTATCTAAATAGTAAAGCACATCATATGAAGTCTAAGCATTTATTAACTTTTTAAAGTTTAAAAATATTGCTAGCTATTGCAACAAAAGTTAAACCTTCATTCAATATGTGTTTTTTGGGGACATTAATATTGGGGTTATACCTTGCTTCTAAGTATTAGAGTTCTATATTTCTACTTATGATTGTGAGTAGTTTGAATAAGCGAGTTTAATTGTTACAAATTAAGCATACTGTACAATAATTAATAGGGTTGGGGTAATGCTTCAGTTTTTCAAATACCTTAAGGTATATATAAGAGATTTTCTAAAAAAGTTTGGTAAAGTTATTGTAGTCAACAATCATTTCGAATGTATTGGTGAAACATTCAGTTCTTAGGATTCTAAAAAATTAATCAAATTGTTTTTGTTTTTAATTTTGCAGTGTGTGATTAATAAAGTTTTACAAATAGAAGAAATAGACACAGATGTTGTTGTGAAGTAAGTATAAATATATAGGTTGGTAGTTGTCAGTCAGGGAAAAAATGACTTGTGCAAATTGGAATAATTTAAGGAGGATTTTGTTAAGAAATTAGTGGTTGAGATATGGGTCAGGATATGAGAAATCATAAATGACACAAGGCCATAGGGAAATAAGTCATTAACAGGATTCAGGAGAAAGACAGTAGTAGTTGATAAAAAGTTGTGTCCTTGAGTAGAGGGTAGCAATCATCACAAAGTAAACCTTCAAGGAGGAAATTGGAGCCGGGGAGATGGCTCAGTGGAATAAGCATTTCCCTGGCAAGCGCAAGGGCCTGAGTTCGATCCCTGGTTCCGCAAAAAAAAAAAAAAAAAAAAAAGTTGGGGGCTGGGGAGATAGCTCAGTAGAATAAGTGCTTGCCTAGCAAGTGCAGGGTCCTGAGTTCAATCCCCAGTACCACAAAAAAAATAAATACATAAATAAATTTTTTTTTAAAAAGGAGGAAATTGGAGTAAGTACCATAGTGTAGTCCCCCTTATCCTTGGGATATATATTCCAGCACCCCATATGGATGCCTGAAACCATTGATATTACCAAACACTACATATACCACATTTTCCCCCATGAGTCCTGAAGTGTTGCCACATAGCACCAAAGTTAATCTGTCTTTCCATGTTTTATACCCACATGCTTTTTTCATGTCACCACTCTTGTGCTGTGGGGGCATTATTAAGTAAAATAAAATTATTTTAACATAAGTGCTATATTAAGCCAGGTGATCTGATAACTAAGATGGCTACTATATGACTGTCCATATGCAACATGGATGCACTAGGCAAAGGAATAATTCATGTTCTGGGTGGGAAGAAGCAGTTTGGTCCAAGGCATTATACTATTCAGAATGGCTCATAGATTGCAACATGAATTTTTTATTTCTGGAATTTTCCATTTGATATATTTGAACTGCATTGACTGTGGAAAATTATTGCTACAGAATTTGAAACTACAGATTAGAGTGACTCTCTGTAAGGGCTCCTCATTGGCTAAGTCCATCAGGTTGCCCTCACATGGCAAAAAGGGTGGGAAAGGGGTAAAAGGTAGATACAAAGCAGGGGAATTGAAGATAATTCATACAGCAAGATAGTAGGATATTAAGTAAGTAGATAGTAAGTATTGTTTAAAGTAACTATATAATTAAAACCAAGTTAATAGGCTTTGAGGAGTTTAATGTTTGATTTTGAACTGTGTTTATAATTTTTGAGCCTTGGGAATTCTTATATTTTGAGAAGAATAGTGTTACTTTATTTTCATTCATGTGGAAATCTAACTTCATTCACTTGTTTAGGATATGAATAGCAATAGGTACAACTATGAAGCTTCTTGAGGCAAACATACAGAATGGAGTCTATGAAGTGTTAATTTTCACCTCACCCTACTTGCTGAAAACTCAGTTTAGAATTAGTTGAATTAAAATAGAATCCAAGTTAGGAACTAAATAGGAATTAAGATAGAAAATAATAATTGTTGGAAGATAAATCATTGGAACTGTTAGAAACTCCATGGACATGAAGAGTTAGTGATTTCTTTTTCTGTAGGGACTTTTCTTAACTTAATGTAGAGATCTTCCTGTCTATCCAGTATAAGAATAGTTTTTGAGAGTCAAGTACTGTCTGCAGCAATATTCATGACAGATTTAGAGTAATAAATTGTTGATGCTATAAAATATTTTTTGTAATTCTGTTTTGCATTAATCTTTTATCTTTGAAGTTAAAGATTGATGTCAACTATTCAAGTAATATTGGCTGATATGTGACAATTTTTAATGTGCCATGCATTGCTCTATGTATTTTTATTAACTCATTTAATACTTACAATAACATATAGACTCTGTTCTTTTTTTTTTTTTTTTTTTTTTACTCTTAAGGCATTTATTTATTTATTTATTTATTTTTAATTAATTAATTATTTATTTATTTAGTGTGTGGCCAGCTCAGCCCACCAGGGGGCGGGCGGGCCAGCATGTGGTGCTGGGGGATTGAACCGAGGTCTCTGCTTTGCTTGAGTTTAGCTTGTTCTAAGTAGGTGCTTTAGACCACTGAGCCATCTCACCAGCCCCAAAAGGCATTTATTTATTAACACGTTCTCTGCCAAGATTTCATATTAGGTTAAAATTCAATCCAGTCTTTTTACATTTCTCTATTGAGGTTGGCATGTCAGTGCGTTACAGAAAAAAGCACCTTCTCCAGCAATCAGTGTGACCAGCATATGCATAGTAAGCCCCACAGTCAGCCCCTATGTTCCCCAGGTGATCCACCTAGATGCTAATACTACTCTGCTACAAGGTAAAAGCTCCTAACTCAAATTTATTGGAAAAGGAGTGAAACTTCTGCAAAGTGCACTTTTGAAAAGAGGTACTTTTTGCGTTTGAAAAGAAACTAGTGAATCCTCTAAGAATAATAAAAGGGAGTATTTTACAGTTAAGCACATGATTTAGAGAGAAGAATTCCAATGTTGCTCTGCTGGTCAATGGTGTTACTACTCTTCTTTTCCTCCTGTGGGCCCCCTTCATCAGCTATCACAAAGCCTTCATCTGTGGCATAGAGAATGTCTACAGTCCTTTGCGATACAGGGTCATTTTCCCCCTCATTCTCCTGGCAAATCAATTCAGTGTTCCTTAGCTTTCCAAAGTAGAAATCTCTTTCTTTCTCCAAGTCTTGAATGGTAAGTTTCAATACATTGACCTGCTGCATCAGTTCAGCTGCCTCATCACCCCCATTGCCCACACCTGGATTCTTTTGTACCACACCTGAGCCAGCCTTAGGAGTTGAAGTAGTTCTCTGGGTTGAAATGGGTCTCTGTGGAGCTGCACTGCTCAAGCCGAGAGTTTCTTCGGTTTATTCTGAGCTGGAGCAACAAGACAAGGAGCCACTGCAGTTTCTGGACCTTCTCTGGCAGCTTTCAGATCATACTGTTTTCCATCGTAGTTTGCATTAAAAAATTTCTTGAACCACTGAACAAATTCAAAATTGTCCTGAAACTTTCCCCAGGGAAGCGCTTATTCCACTGAACCATCTCCCCGGCCTACTAATTTATCCACAGGAATTATTTTATCAACACCCATCCTTTTAAAACCTCTTGTAGTATTTTGAAGTTCTGGATATATTTATGTTCTAGCTTAGCTTGGAATTTTACTTTCTTCAGTGGAGGCAGGGAAGAGCATATCCATAAACTGACAATAGGCAGCCCCTGAGCACAACTGTTCAATCTTCATCAGATTCAACTGCAGAGACTCATTGATCCAGGCCAGCATGTCATGTCGACTTAGATTATCAGTGGTGACGTTGAGTATACGTTCACTGCCATCTTTGGCTGTCAGGGGAACCGCATCTACTGCCCGCACCTGGCTCTGGTTCCGTCTTAGTCTTGTTCAAAAACCATTAGAGTCTGTTCTTTCCTCATGTTAAAATGAGAAAATTGGAGCACATAGGGACTAATTCACTTAGAGTCACATACCTAGTAATCCTAGAAAACTACTAAAATGTTGAACTGAGGCAGTGTGGCCATATTACTTCTTGTATGTGGAAAAGTATGCTTTAGTTTGTAGTGAGAAAAGTAGGTTATTAAATTTCTTGAGGAAGATGTTAGTTTCTATTTTTATTCCAGAAGATACCATTACCTTTAACTACACTTGGCTTTTTATTTTTTATTTATTTTTTGTATTTTAGGGAAAGAGTACAGAGTGTTCAGGGTCTCACTACTAGCTCAGAATCATAGTGATCTGCCTGTTTACAGCCTCCCAAGAGCTGGGATTACAGGCCTGCGCCACCAGGCCCAGACTCAGTTGCCATCTCAGCATGCCCTGGGGGCAGGGCCTGCATGGCAGGCCCGGGGATGGAACCCCCAGGTGCTTTAATCCGCTGAGCTATTTGGCCGGCTCTAAAATTGGCTTTTTAAAAATGATTTCTTTAATAGTTACAAAGTGTGTTCACATGAGTTAATATGTCAATATATTTCATTAGATTAGTTTTAAAAGATATTTAAAGAAGTAGTTGTTTGGTGGTTGACCTCTTTAAGATTTTCTTTCAGCTTTTTTTTTTTTTTTTTTTTTTTTGTGGAACTAGGGATTGAACTCAGGCCCTTGCACTTACCAGGGAAGCGCTTATTCTACTGAGCCATCTCCCCAGCCCCATTGAGCCATCTCCCCAGCCCCATGACCTCTTTAAGATTTGATGATTATAGTTAGAAATCTAGATAAAGTTGCATTTTATTCTTAATATTCAAGCATATCTTTTCCTCTAGTTAGGAGATGTTATCTGATTAGTCCTATGATGACATTATTTATGGTTTTTCCCCCCCCCCCAGGCTTGCAGATCAAATGAGAATGTTAAATTTTCTCCAGTGGTTTGATCTATTAAAGGATATTTTCTCTAAGTTTACAATTTTCCTACACAGAGTTAAGGTAAGCTTATATGTGTTTGTCCAGAATATCCCTAAAATTTAACCAGCTTTCTGGAATAAAACACAACTTTTTTGGTTTTGTAATTTTTCTAAAGAGGTTTGGTTTCAAATAAGAGTAAAAGTACCTTTAAATAGTTTAGGAATTTTTATAATTTCGAACAACTTGTTTTATATTAAAAAAAATATGGTTGCCTGGTATTAAATATTGTGTAGTTTTTCCTGTTCTCATTTTGATTTTTGAATCCTTCTAGATTACATAGTGGTTCAGTACTGTGAGAAACACTTATCTGAAGTCACTAAATTTTTAGAAATTTAATGCTAATATAATTTTTAAGGATATTGTTAAGATTTAAATTATCTTATTAGTGTCCTTTATTGTGGGTTGTTTTTTCATTTGATCTGGGGTCCAGTTAAAGATCACTTATGTTACACTGAACTGTTTTTTAGGCAAACCACTTAATTTTAAGCCATGTAGTATGTGGAAAAGAACACTTACCACACAACATTATTTAGAAGAAAAGATGTTACAGACTATCATATGCATTGTTTGGAATTACTAATATGGCATAGTTATATTTTAGTAAGAAGCAATTACTGAATGTGACATTTATAAGGGACCATTTGTGAAATTTGATATTGTTTGTGTTACCAAGTGTTGTATATGCTAGTCAGTATCCCTAGAATTTCCAAAGTGCCATAGTAAGTCATCCTAGCAACTTCGGTATCTCTCTATGTCATGGCTCATCCTTATTCAAATAGAAGCAATGCTAAGTCACATACAGAAGCACTTTAGACAAAGTCAGAAAATATTTCATTGTGTTTAATTTAGACTGCTTGGCATTAGTAGGATTAAAAATATTGATCCTACCTATTGATAGTGATGGGCAACACACCTTTTTTTATGGATAGATTATTCAACAATTAGTCTGTTTTCACTTTTGTGTATATTCTGTGACCTTTATCATCATATGTATTTATTATTATATGTCTGGATAAATAACAGCATCTGCGGGGTGTTTAGGGTCTCACTACTAGCTCGGACTCACTGTGATCTGCCTGTTTACAGCCTCCCAAGAGCTGGGATTACAAGCACACGCCACCATGCCCAGTCTCAATTGCCATCTCAGCACGACCTGGGGGCAGGGCTGGCCCGGGAGGCCCAGGGATTAAATCCTGACCCCTGCACCTGCTTGCAGGCACTTTAATCCGCTGTGCTATTTGGCTGGCCCTAAAAGTTTGTGATTTTACTGAAAAATAATGGTAATCACAAGCTGTCCTTTTTATTTTTTAAAGAGAATACAAAATGATAGAAGAAAGAAAAAATTAGAAACAATATAGAATTTCACTAAACAAAATAATAGGTATTTGACAATGGTTGTTGTGTCACATAATATTATCTTCAAATTAGTTCAGAGTACCAGATTCAAACATGTAAAACTGGAAAAAAAGAAAGAAAAAGAAAAAAACTTAAGCATTAACTTCTTTCAATAGGCCAACAGAAATCAACAAGCTGTTCATTTTAGTGGAAGCATTTTTAAATAATTAAAAATTATTTCTAGTTTGGTTGTTAGATTATAGGGCCACTTAAAATATGTGTTACTTTGTTTTCCCTTACTTTTTCATTAAAAAGACAGTATTTTTTAAAATCAGAAAAAGGTTGTTTTGCATTTTTTTTTTTACTCTCCTGGGGATTGAACTTCAAGTATTAGATTTTTGTGTTTATGTAGTATGTGTATGTAAGGCAATTAAAAACAAAGCCTTTGTACTGTACTATAAATTTGTTTGAAGGGCCTTGCTAAATTAAGTATGAGATATTTTAAATCCTTTATGAGTATATCTTCTATCTTTTTTTTTTTCTTTCTTTCTGTAGGCAACATTGAATATCATTCAAAGTGTTGTTCTCTCAGTTCTTGACAAAAACCAAAGGACTAGAGAATTGGAGGAAATTTCACAGCAGAAGAATATTGCAAAAGATAATTCACTGGACACAGAAGTGGCTTATTTAATCCATGAAGGCATGTTTATAAGTGATGCATTTAATGAGGGTGAATTAGCACCTGTAACAGTTGACACTACCTCTCAAAGAAATGTATCTCCAAATAGTGAGCCTTGCAGCAGTGATTCGGTATCCGAACCAGAATGTACTACTGATTCTTCATCCAGCAAAGAACAGACATCATCATCTGCTACTCCAGGAGGTGTGGATATTATGTAAGTATAATGGCTAAAATCAAATAGACAGGAGTTTTGAATCATTTATTAAGGGTTTTAGTACAATTGAGTACTCATTGTATTTAAAAACCATGTAGATTTTCATCTTGGAATTTAATCCAAATAAATTGTTTGAAATGTTACTTTTTGAAAATGTATGGAAAGTACAGAGATGGTAAACATTGTACGTAATGGAGAAATTGCAGGTTTTAAAGCTAAAAATAGTTTTATTTAATTATTTTATATTTAATTAAATACCCTTATCTCAGTGATATGGTAACTGATGCTTGGAGAGCTTACATGATTTACTTAAAGTCACCAGTAGCAGAATTGTTTGGAACTAGGTCAGTTATTATCTTGGTCATTTTTCTTTGTTTTTTGTTATCATTATATTATATATAGCAGAGATCTGTTTGGCTTGCTTTTTTGTGTGTGTGGTGGTACTGGGGATTGAATTCAGGCCCTTTTCACTAATATATATCACCATCCCTTCTTTTGCTCTTTATTTTGAGACAACATCTTAATAAGTGGCCAGGCTGGGACTTGAATTTGCAGTCTGTCTGCCTCATGTTCCCAGGGTACATTATAGGCATGTGCCACTGCAGTTAGCTGATTTGCGACTTTGCAATTTCAAAGACATGAATTTCTGGGTAGATCACAGTGTACATCATTTTAAAAACTTTTTATTGGGTCTCAGTGATATGATAACTGATGTTTGGAGAGCTTACATGATTTACTTAAATTTACTCACAGGCGCAAGGCCCTAGGTTCAATCTCTAGCACCACAAAAACAATGAAGGAAAAAACCTACCATCCTTTCTTTCTTTCTTTCTTTCTTTCTTTCTTTCTTTCTTTCTAAATGTATTTGGTACAGGGTCTCAGTATGCAGCTCAGACTCATAGTGCTTCTCCTGTTTTCAGCCTCTCCAGTGCTGGGATGACAGGTGTGCACCACCACACCCGGTCTTGGTGGCCAGCTCAGCACACCCGGGGCAGGGCCGATGCAGCTTGTGGTGCCAAGGATCAAACCCTGCTCCCTGTGCTTGCCTAAGCAGGTGTTGAGCTATCTCACCGGCCCTAAAACCTATATTGAAATAATTTCAAATTAACAGAAAAATAGCCTCTAAAAGTCTTATATATGTAAGTCTTCATCCAGAGTCTCCAGTTGACAGTTCACCACCCTGTGTCCCCTTTTTTCCTTTCTCCTTTATATCTCATATTTTTTTCTGAATCAAAAAATAATTTAAACTCCTGCCAGCTAGGCATAGTGACACACACCTGTAATCCCAGCACTTGGGAAACTAAATGCAGTACAATTGCTGTGAGTACGAGGCCAGCCTGAACTATGTAACAAGACTCTGTCTCAAAAAAAATTAACAGTAGTTTACAAATGTGATGTCACATTTGTCCCAGTGTATGCATATTACTACAATATGTATTTGATAAACACAAAGAAATTCTACATAATCAGAATGTATCACTTAAAGAGAAGAAAACTGATAGCGTATTACAATCTAATTCATAGACCAGAACTGAGCCAGAATATACTACTGATTTTTCATACAACAAAGTGCAGACATCATCATTTGCTACTTCAAAGTTCAGAGTTCACCAGGTGTCCTAGTAATCTCTGGTATCTAAAAGTTAAAACCAATAAAAACTTTCTGGTTTATGAGTATAGTTTAAGTTTAATTATTATTAACAGCAAGACTCAGTACTTTTGTTCATCTTTATATAAATCAACCAGAAGCTTATAGAAGACAGATTTACAGCATTAAGCAAACTGTAACTGTCTCTCTTTCCATTGTGTAAATTTTCCAGAGAGATTAAAACAAGTGTCTGCTTCCAAATGAGACAGAGTTAACAGTTCAAAAAAAACTAGACAAGTCTAGCTTGGTCAGTTAACAAAGCCATTGACAATTTGAAGGCTCTAGCACTGACAACCTGTGGTAGGCCACTGGTTTTGTAGGGCACTATTTAAAACAGAAAAGTAGGATCAAAAGCAAGAAGGAGACTTGAGAAAAGTTATGTGTACTTTACTCCTGTCCTATCCTTATCAAGGAACTACTGGTCCCAGTAAGTACTGTCTGGCTACGATGATGGGTGATCTTGTTGCTTTGTAGTTTGGCATACATCCTCAGCACCTGGTAAGGGCACATTGGACAACTAAAACAGTGGTTTACTACAAGATGGAGTCACGTTGACTAGAATTTATAGAATAATTCTTATACTCCATCCCTTATTCTGATTCTTCCAATCTTTCCCCCTCTTCTGCAGTGTTCCCTGAATAGTGTTGGAAGGGGTATGATCTTCTTTGACTAAGAACTGAACATTGGGAGGTTATTTTATAGCATCAGATGCTTATTCATAAAATGATACAAACATTAATCAAAAATGGTGTCACCAGGTTAAGTGTGTGTGCGTCAGGACTTAGTTACGTGTTTCTTAATTCACTTAAAGGAAGCCCTCATCTCAGTTCTGAGGTCCCTTTAAAGTTACTCCACGTTTGAGGAACAAGGGCAGCACTCCTGCTTAACTGGAGAGGGAAAGTTCCCACACTCAAAAGTTGGAGGGATTGTAGGTGTGATAACTGCCTGCTGCAAGAAGATACCCCTCAGCTATGGCCAACAACAAAAGTAATCTATAGGCATAGACACAGATGTTTAGATGTCAGTTTCTTTGGGGCATCATATCCCTTTAACAAAATAGCAGTGATTTACCTGTGATTTCCTCAACAACAGATCTTTGTCCTGCCTTTCAGTACCAAATATGGGTTCCCTTGGTGCAGGAAAATGTTTGTATCCACATTTTCAAAGTCTTAATTTTTTTTAAAATTCATAACTTTATTGATAAACAGATAGCAATGAGACAGTTTCAAATCAAATCGGTAGGACAGTTTCAATAACCAACACACTGCATATATTCTTCTTAGTGGTTAATTGCTGTACAAGATGCGGACCTGAGATCCTATTTACAAACACCATTAGAACAAATCATTCTATTCATTAAGAGAATGTAACTATATATCTATCCCAACCACTTTAAATACACAGATACAAAATGGACATTCATCGGTATACCCCTTTTTTTCTAAATTCCGTTATTTGAATATTATAGGTGTGTAAACTCTGCAAAATATTCTAAAAGAGTCCAGTAGCCCATAATAGCATTGGGTCTTCTGTTTAACTGGCAATGCCAGAAATTATTGACCTGAGTCCCCCACAGCTCAACATAACAGCAAGGCTTTACTTCCTATATTTCGTCTTCATACTTTTCTACTGGATGGTTAAGACCAAGGTAAAGCAGGACCTGTGCAACAAGAGTTGTAGCTTTTGGGTGTGATAAGGTCAGTGAAATCCCCTCAGGATTTATCGTGAGATCCTGTACCTCAGATTGTAGAACCTTTGTGAGTGTCAGCCATGTGGATGAGTCATGGCCATTGCTTGGCCAGTGTGCTCTCTGTGAAAGCCTGAGAGAGTGTTTTCTCTCCATGTGACTCTCCTTAGGCACACTCTACATCATCGATCACTTTCTTCTTTGGCCCCATAATCTTCTTGATCAGAAAATTTGGGACACTACTGAGTTACATGACGTTACAGTACAAGTTCTCATGTGTCCTGAGTCTTAATTGTCAAAGTCTTAATTTTGTACCATCCCAGAAAGTGGCTTAGCCATAGGCCTACAGTCCATCCCTTTATTGGACATGTTGTGTTTATTGTCATTGAAGTAGATCTAGTGATGGATTGCACCATTGCAGGGCTTTAGGTAGAATTGCTGCTCCTGTTCTGTATACCTGGCTTCGACCCCTTTTCATGATTGGAACCAGAACTCTGTTGGAAAATTGTCTGTTCAGGTTTCTTTATGTCACAACCATCAAGGTTCTTGCTATTCTCTAGAACAAATGGTTACTGCATAGTGGGACACACAACTGTTTAGCCTTCCCCAAGCTAAACAGTTTTGAGACTTTCTCAAAAGTCTCTTCAGCCCTTTGTCTCATTCCACATAGTTCTACTTTTTATCAAGTTACATAGAGGGTGGATGATGAGTAAGGAGGGATATGAAAATATTCTGGTAACCTAAGAGTCTTAGTAGTGCCTGTAACTGCTTTACATTTATTGGTATAGGATGCTGCAGAATTTTCTCAATGATCTTTTCAGGTATTGTTTGTGTCTTAACCATAAAACTCCCCCAAACTATACTCTAGTACCAGGTTCTTGACCTTGTGGGGATTGATTTCTGTCATCTTTATATCTTGTATATCATCCAGATATTTTCCTAAGTCTGTGAGACACTCAGAGGTTATTATGATACCATCTATATAATGAAATATTTTCAAGATAATAAATCAACATCCTAAGCCACCATTGCATTGCAAATGGTGGACATGTGCAGGTAGACCTGAAGGAGCACTTGAAAGGTCCATTGCTGTCTGTTCTGGGTAAATGTAAAATTGTTCTGGGATTTTGCAGATAAGGGAATACTAAAGAAAGTATTAAATATAGGAAGTAAAGCCATGTTGTTATGTTGAACTGTGGGGGACTCAGGTCAATAATTTCTGGCATTGCCAGTTAAACAGAAGACCCAATGCTATTATGGGCTACTGGACTCTTTTAGAATATTTTTCTGAGTTTACACACCTATAATATTCAATAACGGAACTTAGAACAAATGGGGTATACCGATGAATGTCCATTTTGTATCTGTGTATTCAAAGTGATTAGGATAGATATATAGTTGCATTCTCTTAATAAATAGAATGATTTGTTCTAATGGTGTTTGTAAATAAGATCTCAAGTCCGCATCTTGTACAGCAATTAACCACTAAGAAGAATATATGCAGTGTATTATTTGTTGAAACTGTACTTCTGATTTGATTTGAAACTGTCTCATTGCTGTTTATCAATAAAATTTTGAAAAAAAAATAAAAAAAGAAAGTATTAATAAGATCTAAAACAGTGTAAAATCCCACAAACTACATCAGGTTTTCATTCAGGGGAACAGTATTGGGTACAGTGTCATGGCCAGGGAATAGCAACTTATGTAACCTTCTATAACCCACAGTCATTCTCTACCAGCCATCAGACTTCTTTACTGTAATTGCTGACTGTGATGTGCAGTGTATGCCCCAACAGCATGTCTACCCCTCATATAAGCTTGGTCTTTTTTACCTATGGACATCTCAAGATTTAGATTTTTCTGTTAGGTTAGGCTCAGATTGATTCAGAACTAATTTAGCATTTTGGCAGAGTTCTTTGTGATAATTATTATCAGTGACTTGTGCATAAGAATTCTTCCTTCATAAGTTTTTGACTCTACCTTTCGGTGGGGTTAACACAAGGGATTCTATCTTGATATTTTAACTTCACACTTTCCTTATATTTCTCTCTTATCTTTATGAGAGTTCCCCAATGGTCTTGCTAATTAGTCATTGTTTCCATTGTCCCTCAACACTGGAATGTTGTTCCAATTGTTGGTCTTACCTGGTTCCACATTGGAGGAGAGTGTTGACAATTGAGACTTACTGGTGTAGCCCCTTTAACCACATTTGAGCAACAATATTTAGAAGGAATAGCTCTTAGATCTGATAAAACTAACAAGATCAAAAATTTATAATAGCCAATCATTCAAATTTTTTTCATAAGCTTCAATCTTTATAAAACTTAACTCAGACTTCCTGATTTTGTCCCTGTCTTTCTTTTTTTCATTCTAGTGAGATAAAATCTTACAATACAAAATGCCCCCTATATTTATTCGCTTCTTTAATTTCTTCCTCTGAGAAGAGGAAGGGTGTAGAGGTGAAGTGTAGGAAGTGAAGCCGTGCTGTTATGTTGGGCTGTGGGGGACTCAGGTCAACAATTTCTGACATTGCCAGTTAAGCGGAAGACCCAGTGCTGTTGTGGGCTGCTGGACTTTTTTGGAATGTTTTGCTGAGTTTACACACCTATTATATTCAAATAATGGAAGTTAGCAGAAAGAAAGGGTATACAGATGGATGTCCATTTTGTATTTGTGTATTCAGGGTGGTTGGGGTGGATGTATGGTTACATTCTCTTGATGAATGGGATGATTTGTTCTAGTGGTGTTTGTAAATAGGATGTCAAGTCCGCATCTTGTACAGCAATTAACCACTGGGAAGAATGTATGCAGTGTGTTGATTATTGAAACTGTCCTACCAATTTGATTTGAAACTATCTCATTGCTATTTGTTTATCAATAAAATTAGGGCAAAAAAATGCCCCCTAATCCCAAATCTATCCTTATGCACAGAACTTTCTATCTTCCTCTCTGTCCTGCTTACTAGTTCCCTTTATTACAAGCCTCTTGGCCACTTGGATATTAAAATACTCCTGGTTCATTTTTCCCAACTGTTAGTCTTGGTTTACATACAAATGTTTACATTCTCATTAGGACTCGTTGAATAACAGATTTCTAGGTAATCTTTTAAATTATATTAGTACAAGTAGAAAGAAGAGCAAGTTAGTCTTGTATTTGTAGTTGAAGAACTATCCCAGTGTTATGCACAAGAAATGTTTTAAGCATAACAAATTGAAGCACCCCTCTAAATATACTCCAGTTAGAATCCAAAGGTAAGTATGCCAGCTAGCCAAGTTGTACCCCAGTGCACTCTTTCAACTCTTCAAAGATTGCCAGGAATGCTGGTTCCCTCTCTTCGCATCCTGAGACGTTGGTCAGCCTCAGTCTTGCTCCCCCTAGGATCCAGGGCAGACTTTGCATATCTAAAAAACATTTCCACCTGACATCCAACTTATAGTTGTTCCCCATAACAGCTTGGATTTAGAATCTGGCTGAGGTTTCCCAGACCTTCCATCATCTCTACTATGCCAGCAGTGTTCTTCCCCAGCACTGGTACTTTAATAGGTTTATCCTGGTTCTTTTCCTCTGGTATTTGCTTAGTGTGAACTTAGGCTTAGAGCTCAGTCTCTGTTACTCCTGCCATGACTTTTATTTACATATCATACATATAGATACCATACATATAGATAGATTTGTTTTTACTATATAGATATCCTTTCAACTTAATATTATTTATTGAAAATACTCTTTACTGCTTTATAGTGCAACTCATGATAAGTCAAATATTTAGATATGTGTGTCTGTGTTTGTACTCTTGTTCGTTTTTATGTCTTCGCACCACTATTAAGTATAATTATCTTAATTACTATAGTTATTGTAGCTTTTTAATAACTCTTAATATCTGGAGTAGTAATTTTTCTTCCTTTTCTTCAAGATGGCCTTTAGCCAGGCACAGTGGTACCAGACTGGAATCCCAGCTCTGCAGGAGACTAAAGCATGAGGGCCACAAGTTCAACCCCAGTATTGATAACTTAGATCCTATCTCAAAATAAAAAAAAGGCCACAAATGTAAAAAGTCCAAAGAATATGGATTCTATCCCGAGTATTAACCCCCCAAATTACGTTGACTTTTTATAGTCTTTTGTAAATTCATATACATATTAGCTTTGTTAGTTGCTTCTGTTAACATTTTTTAATATTTTATTTTTAAAGGAAAAATCCAGAATTTGCCCTATTACAACATAACTGTTGTCTCTCTGTAAAGGAGCCTTGAAAAATATAGTCCCTAGCTTTTTAGCTGTTTGCTAGCTAAAACTATTTGCTCAGCTAAAACTATGATTGTGGCAAAAAAAAAAAAAAAAAAAAAAAAAAATGTTGAAAGGTAGTTAGCAGTCTGCTGTAATATTTAAGATTCCTTTAAAATAGAATGTAGTCTCATAGTTTTTATTCTTTCCTTTCATTTTCTCTGTGGCTCATTTTGTGTTTTGTATCTTTTATTTTTTATGTTTTTCTGGTTCTCTATCACATAGTACTACAACAACATGTAACAAATTCTATGGATAGTTCTTTCTGTGTTTAGTCGGCACATGGGTATTTCCACACCACCCAAACCAAAGGGACAGGGGGCTGGGGAGATGGCTCAGTGGAATAAGCGCTTCCCTGGCAAGCACAAGGGCCTGAGTTCAATCCCTTGTTCAGCCAAAAAAAAAAAAAAAAAAAAAAAAAGTCTGGTACAAAAAAAGTACCAAACCAAAGGGACAGTGAATTAGTTGTTGAGAGAATATTTGTAGGTCCCAAGTTATTTTATACAAGGCTTCTGACTGTTCTTGTATCAAGTATTTTTGAAGTATATAATTGTGTCATGGATATAGAATGCACAAAACTTATATCTAACATTTTAATGTTATTAGTGGTAGACTTTTGCTATTTTCACTTTTTCAAGATGATTTATAGTTTTTCAAGGCTTATTGTTATGCAGATGTGGGCACAAAAAAATACTTTTCCAGACAGAAAATGGGAAAAGAAAATTATTGGAAAATATTAAGAGTTGTGGAGTTTTAAAAAATGAAAAAAAATTGATTACATTAAAAAAAATTAGTACAGGGTCTATAGGATCTCACTACACAGATCAGACTTGTAGTGATCCTTCCTGCTTTTTCAACCTCCCAAGCGCTGGAAATCCAGGTGCACACCACCACACCCATTCTCAGTTGCAGTCTCAGCATCCCCCTGTGGGCGGGGCTGCAGACTGGGGGTCGAAACCCTGGCCCCTTGTATCTGTCTAAGCAGGTGCTTTTATCTGCTGAGCTACCTGCCCCCCCTTTTTTCTTTCTTTCTTTCTTTTTTTTTTTAAACAGGCTCTTGCTGTGTGATTTAGGCAGGACTTGAACTCTCTGTGTAACACAGAGAACTATGGCCTAGAACTTATGCCTTCTCCCTGCCTCAACCTGGGTACTGGGATTACAGGGATGCACCATCATATCCAACTGTTTAAAGTATTTAGTTGTGATTAAAAAACATAAAATATAACAGGTTAATAATTTCTAAGTAAAAAAAATTTCTAAGTATATAGTTAAATAGAGTGAAACATTTATATTGTATAACCAGGTATCTCAAAAACTTTTTCATCTTATAGAACTGAAACTCTCTACCCATCAACAGCTTTCCATTTGTTTTCTCTCTACTTTTTGTCTTATAAATTTAAACTCTTTAGTTCATGCATACCAATAGAATCCTACAATATTTTTTTCTGTATGGTTATTTCACTTGCACTGTTTCTTCAGGGCTCATCATGTTGGTAATTTACATCAAAATTTCCTTCATTTCTCTTACGAATGAAGTAATATTCCCTTATGTGTATATATGCCGTATTTTGTTTTCCAATCCACAGATTAGAGTATGAACTAAATATTAAAACACTATTGCAAAGAAATAATTATTCTTCTATAAGATTTTTGGGTAAAATATGTATTATCTGAACATTTTTAAGTGATACTTCCCATTAAAAACTAGGAAGTATTTGGTAGATTACAAAAGTTTTTCTTCAAATGTGAATTTTACAGCTTTTTATTAATATATTACCTTTAGAGAATATTGTGTTTATGGTTTTCCTTAATTCTCCTTTTATCTTTTACAGGGTTAGTGAAGACATGAAATTAACTGATGCAGAGCTAGGAAAGCTGGCAAATAATATCCAGGAATTATTGTATAGTGCCTCAGACATATGCCACGATCGAGCTGTCAAGTTTCTCATGGCAAGAGCAAAGGTATTTTCACCAAGCATTAGATATTTTATATTTATATGTAATTATTTTGATTGATTGATTGATTGATTGATTGTAATGTATTTAGTACAGGGTCTACATGGTCTCCCTACATAGATTGAACTCATAGTGATCCCCCTGTTTTCAGCCTTCCAAGTGCTGGGATTACAGGCAGGCGCTACCAAGCCCAGTCTCTCAGTGTCTCAGTGCACCAGAGGCGGGGCCAGCATGGCAAAACATTCTTTTCAAATAATTATCAAAGGATTTATTTTAAAATATAAAATTTTAGTGATTAATTTGAATCTAATATGCTGTTTTATATACATTATATACCTGTATAATTAAATATAGAGGCTATTAATAAAATTAAACTCCAATATTGTGAAAATTTTATAGTATGAACTGAATTCGTTTGAGTTACTATATTAGTCATGTAAAATCAGAGTCAAATTTGACATCTTTGGTTTTTTATTTTGGGTCTGAAGTATTACGAAGTTTCATTTAAGTGATAAAATACTGTTATCAATTGTAAGGGGCCGGGGAGATGGCTCAGTAGAATAAGTGCTTCCCTGGAAAGCACAAGGTCCTGAGTTCAATCCCTGGTTCCACCAAAAAAAAAAAGTGCAAATAGTCCAATTTTAAATATGATAAATGCTACAATTAATGTATTATGAAAGTGGCATAATTAATATTGATTCTCATTAAACTATGTTGGTTTTATAATTTAGCATATTTGACATACTAACTCCAATGACTTTGTATTATTTTTAAAATTTAGGATGGATTTCTTGAGAAGCTAAATTCCATGGAATTTATAACACTTTCTAGATTAATAGAAACATTCATTTTAGACACTGAACAGATCTGTGGAAGAAGAAGCATGTCGTTATTTGGAGCATTGCAGAGCCAAGCTAGCAAGTTTGTAAATAGGTTTCATGAAGAGAGAAAAACCAAGCTCAGGTATCATTACCATATGTTTTATTCTTCAGTTTTGTTTGTTTGTTGTAAAGTATAATTATTGCTGTAAAAAGAAAACTTAATTGACTACCAAATTATGGAATTAAAAATCACATTTCTTGGCTTTTCAAAATAGAATTAAAATGTTTACTTCTGTTATAAAGTGCTCTTCAGAAAGATCCATGAAAATATACATGGATTTTTTCCTCATTTGAAATTAAGTAAATTATGTTTCCTCATTCTCTTTGATGAGGCTAGGAGCTATAAAGATAGGTGCTAGACTACATATGAATGAGTCCAGTTTATTAAGGTATTCAGCATTTTTATTTTTTTTTTATTTATTTTTTATTTTTTATTTTTTTTTAATTTTATTTATTTTTGTGTGTGGCCAGCTCAGCCCACCAGGGGGCAGGGCTGGCTGGCATGTGGTGCTGGGGGATTGAACCGCGGTCCCTGTGTTTTGCTAAGCTTGTTCTAAGTAGGTGCTTTAGACCACTGAGCCATCTCACCAGCCCCTATTCAGCATTTTTAAAGTGATATATACTAACCTGAGCTTTTCTTCCTTTTTATTTTCAATTGAAGAAGATGGTGTTGAAATATTATTAAAGTTAGCCTTCCTTTATTTTTAATTTTGTATAGCCTTCTCTTGGATAATGAGCGCTGGAAACAAGCTGATGTTCCTGCTGAATTTCAGGATCTTGTTGATTCTATATCAGGTGGAAAGATTGCTTTACCTGAAAAAAAATCTGGGGGTATGTATATTCTTTCATACTTTCTTCCAAATTTATGTTGTTTATTTATTTTGTATTAACACCTAATATTTTAAAAATTTATAATGTCAAAAAAATTGATAATGTGTTTTTTTAGCTTTTTTAAAAATTTTTGTTTTGGGGCAGAACTGGGAATGGAACTCAGGCCCTTGCGCTTACCAGGCAAGCACTTATTCTACTGAACAATCTCCCTGGGCTCCTAAAGTTTTTTTTTTTTTTTTTTCCTTTTCTGTTTGTTTGGTTTTTTTTTTTTGTTGTTGTTTGTTTGTTTGTTTTGTTTTTTTTTTTGGAACCAGGGATTGAACTCAGGCCCTTGCACTTGCCAGGCAAGTGCTTATTCTGAGCCATCTCCCTGGCCCCTTCTTTTCTGTATTTTTAGGGAAGGGTTTACAGGGTGTTCAGGGTCTCACTACTAAATCACACTCGTAGTGATCCACCTGTTTACAGCCTCCCAAGAGCTGCAATTACAGGTGTACACCACCATACCCAGTTGCCATCTCAACACACCCTGGGAGCGGGGCTGGCACAGCAGGCCTGGGGATTGAACCCCCAGCCCCTGCATCTGCTTGCAGGCACTGAGCTATTTGGCCGGCCCTATAATGTCTTGAAAAGCCTACAACTAATAATGAAGTATAGTAAATGTAGTTGACAGGAAAAATATTTACAGTAATTTGTAACAATAATTTCAAATGCTTGTTGAATGTTAACCACACGCTAGACATTTTACGATGTGTTTTACTTGCATTTCACTTTAGCCTCAGCGCAACCTATCATTATATTACTATTGTTGCCTTAAGAATGAGAATGCTTGAGGTTTAGAGGGATCGAAGAATTTTACACAAGTTATACTTGACACTTGAACTTGGCTTTATGTAATTTTACAGATGCGTATTTCTTAATTCCTATACCACATTGTCGAGAGATATGTTTCATTCAGTGAACTCTAGTTAGCTTCCATTTTGTGTCATATATTGAGACAGATAACAGCTATAATTGTTTTTAAAGAAGCTAAGTTTAATGAATAAAACCAAGAGAATATATGTCTGATCACAAGTAATACAGTTATATGATAGAGGAAGCCAAAATGTAAAGCACTGTGTGTGTGTGGGGGGGGGGGACTGCAAGGCAAAGAACAAAGGAGTAGAGAAGTAGGAAGAAATCAAGAACATAGATGTCAAAATTAGAGGTTCACAACATGAGAGAATTGTCACTGGTGCCAAATTTGGTTAAGTTTGATATGAAAGGATATAATGCTAAGGAGATATCTTTGTATACAAATTGAAATATCATATAATTAAATATACATGCATTCTGGAATTAAATTTTTGAATATTTTTAATGGAGAAGGTAGTTGCACTATTTCAAATTTTCTGCCTTTAATGAAGTGTTAATTTTTTACATAGAAATATTCTCAAATTGTTTACTATACATTTTCACAAAATGCAAGTGCATTACAAGAGAAAATAAAATAAGATAATGGCAGTAAGTTTGACATATAGGAGATTCCTTTCAATCTAGATAATTAAGTGTAATGATGGGAGTCAGTGCTAAGGGTGGGTAGACAAACAGAGTATACCTTTTCTGTAAGTTTAGGTGAAAAGGAAAAGTAAATAAGACATGAGTGCAATCAGAGATTGTCACCTCAGATGGTAGTTGAAAGAAGAGTTTTTTTGAGGTAGGAGAAGCTGAATTTTTATATTTAATAGAAATCAGAGCGGAAGAGGGTACTCTATAGGCCAAAATTCCAAGAATTGAATATAGATTTTAATGAAAGACTGCCTACCTCTTCTACCACTACGACAAATGGGAAGGGGTTAAGATTAGCTATAAGGTAAGTTTGTATAAGGCAGAGAGGGAGTGAAAGAACTAAGTACATCTCTGCTGTTTGATGACTATTTTCAATAGGTAACAGTGTTAGGTGGTGGTTAAAATTTTTAAACTGATTGTATGATATTAGCAGAATGTAAGATTTATGACTCATCAAACATTTCAAGCTGTATTTGACTAACTTCCCTCTATGTGAGATGCTGTGCTAGATAACTAGGGCATGTTTTCTGTTCCTGAGCAGCTCCTAGTCTTTACATTTCACTGTTATTTAAACCAGAATGATTTTTTAATTAATACATGAATGCATTAACAGAATGATTGGATTAACCTTTTCGTTTTTCTTCCTGCATAGTGAACTATTTTCATTTTCTCTTTGGAAGATTTTGATGTTTCTGCCTCAGTCTTTTCTTCTGACTGAAAAGTATAGGTGTGTGCTAGTAGAAGTCCAGTAACATTTTATTAGTTCTTATCAAGGTTCCTATATTATTATTCATTCACTTATGGTACAGATTTTTAGTGACTAGGCATTGGGCTAGGCACTGGGGAAATAAAGATTAATAGGTAACAGCTAATATTAATTGTATGCTTTCTTGATGCGGCACGCTGTTTGTTCTAAGTACTTTATATGTGTTATGTTGTTTATAGGTCTATAAACTAAACACTGTTAAGATTGCCAATTAGCAAACATGGAAATTTAGGTTCAAAGAGATTAAGCAACTTGTCTGGAATTACATAGTTAAGAAGTATTAAAGTCAGGATCTACATTCAGACAGACTAGTGTTAAGGTTTTTATCTACTATGCTATGTTGCCTCACTGCATTGTAGAGAATTAGTTACCAAACAATCTTTGGGTCAAAAAATGTATAGAAATGTATAGTGTGACATACAAAGTGAACTGTGATTAGAAGTTATGTAGAATTGGACTTCTATTCATGAAAGAAAAGGAGTAGTAGACATGTTGTGTCCTAGTATTCAAAAGGACTTTAAGTTTAGGGAAGAGCAATAACTTGCCTACAGTAATCAAATTAGTTCAGTTGATCCAGGATAATAATCCAGTCCACTGTTCTTTTTCCCTCAAAATATCAAGTTCTATTACATAACAATTTAAAAAGTCACTGTTTAAAGTAATGTGTTGAAATCTTAAGAATGAAATATACAATCTCCATTGAATTAGAAATTAACTCATTCAGGGCTGGCCAAATAGCTCAGCAGATAAAGTACCTGCAAGTAGGTGCAGGGCCCAGGGGTTCAATCCCCAAGCCTGCTGTGCTGGCCCTGCCCTGCCACCCCCCACCCCCTGCACTGAAATGCAATTGAGACTGGGCGGGGTGGCTTGCACTGATAGTCCCAGCTGTTGGGAGGCTGTAAACAGGAGAATCACTATGAGTCCAATCTAGTAGTGAGAACCTGAGCACCCTGTAGACCCTTCCTTAAATACAAAAAAGAAAAAAGAAATTAATTCATTCTAAACATGATAATAATAAAAACAGCTAGTTGAAATGCTTGTTCTGTCTTTCCAAAAAGTTTTGAAACTTTTTTTAAAAACAACTTCCTAATCATCTGTCATGTGCCAGGCCTAGAGGATAGGCAGTTTGTAATCATCTGTATCACATTGACAACTGCCTTAAAAGATAATATTACCTACATTTCATGTTATAGGTACTGACTCAAAGAGGTTAAGTGATTGACCTAAAGTTGTGCTTCTAATAATAGACAATACTGCCACTCAAATTCACATGTGTTTAACTCTAATCAAATGTAATTTACTCTGTGAAATTGCTTGTTAACAATTAGATATTTATTATTAGAAATGAGACGGTTCTAAGCCCTAAACAGAAACTCCTTCTTTCTTTCTTTCTTTCTTTCTTTCTTTCTTTCTTTCTTTCTTTCTTTCTTTCTTTCTTTCTTTTTTGACTGGGCCTCTCTATTAAGCCCAAACTGGCTTTGAACTCACTATGTAGCCCAGGCTGTCCTCAAACTCAGAGCCATCCTCCTGCCTCAACCTCCTGAGTGCTGGGATTACTGGCATGTACCACCACACCCAGCTTTAAATAGGAACTATTTTTGGCTTTCTCCCAGCATTTTGTTTCATCATGTATTCTCTTCTTTCTTATTTGGTTTACTCTTTAGCAACAGAAGAAAGGAAACCAGCTGAGGTTCTTATTGTTGAGGGACAAGAGTATGCTGTTGTTGGGTGAGTAGTACATGTTTTTCATTAGTTGAGTCAATTATTTGAAACATAATTCTTCTAGTTTCCTCTTGAGTTATATTGGAAATTTTGAAGTAAAAATTTCAATCCTATAAAATACTTAAGGAGTATTTTATGGATTACTTGTTATTATCTGTAGAAGGCTTTAACGACTACAGGCTTATCGTTAAGGACTACATAGGCTTAACAAAAAGGCTTTAGCTTTTCTCATGCACAGTAACATGAAATGTGGAGAGCCCAAGGGTTTTTAGTGGCTGTATCATGCTATTGCCATCTTAGCTTCTTGTAGATTATTTTCCCTACAGATTTCTTAGTGTGTTATATAGCATAGTCTTTAAGTTGTTGGTTTCAAAGGTGAAAAATAGTTCTACATATAGAACTATTGTGAAAATTAAACAGGTAATGCTTTAAAGGAGTTATCACAGTTCTGCAGCAACTGTTTCTATCCTCATTTGAATCATTAGGTCTTTTACTCTTTTATTAATAAACATATCCCTATTTCAAGTTAACTGAGAGTCATACAAGTTGCAAAATTGTTTGTTATTATATGCTTTTTATTAAATAGGTAATTAAGATGATTATCTTTATATTCTGTCTACAAAATGTTATTTTCTTTAATAGCACTTTACACTTTGTATATTTTCATGTATTTGATCTTACCACCCCTTTGTAAAGTAACATGTCAGAGATTATTGGTTTTATTCTCAGTTACTAGAATTGCAGCTTTGAAGGTTCTGTGGTTAACAGTAAAGTGTCCCAAAATGGAGTTAGAATTTAGGTCTAATTCCCAACATCTAGGCCATCATTCTTTTTCATTTTTCTTTGCTTCAAGTCATTATGTATTTTTAAGTAGGTACCTTCTCCAGAAAGAAAGTCCCTTTGTGCACCTTTATCACAGCATTTACTTTAGTATAGTAGAATTACTTCATAGCTGGGCATAGTGCTGCACACTGGAGGCTGAGACAGAAGGACAAGTTCAAGTCCAACCTGGCAGCTTGGTGGCTTAATGAGACACTGTCTTAAAATTTAAAAATGGCTGGAGATGTAGCTTAGTGCAAAGGCCCTGGGTTCGGTCCCATTACTGAAATATAATTAGAACTATTTCTTTGTGTTTATATCTCTTTGTTAGAGTCTAAGTTCTGCAAAGGGAAGGGGTTATCTCTTACAATTTATTTTTTCTTGGCACCATAATAAGCACTCAAAAAGTATGTACAGATTTGAGGCTTTAAAAAAAAAAAAAAGTTTTTCTCAGTCTATATAGTCAAGCTTTGCAAGTATCAAATTCCAAACTAGCTTCCGCCACAGCAACCATCAAAGAACAGTAGCCCTGGCTGTCTGCTATCCCATGGCTGTGGGTCTCAACAAGGGCCACAAGATGACTAAGAATGTGAGCAAACCGAGGCACAGCTGCTGTTGCAGAGCCTCACCAAACACCAAGTTCGTGTGAGATATGATCCAGGAGTGTGTGGCTTTGCCACGTATGAGCTGTGCGCCATGGAGCTGCTCAAGGTCTCCAAGGGCAAACATGCCCTCAAGTTCATCAGGAAAAGGGTGGAGACGCACATCCAGAAGCATGAAGAGCCGAGTAACATGCTGGCTTGCCATGAAGAAGGCAGCTGCCAAGAAGGCCTGAGCCCCTCTGGAATAAAGCTTTGTAGAAAGTTTAAAACAAAACAAAACAACAAATTCCAAACTAATAAATAATTACCTTTCTTCTCTGGAATTCTTCCTACTTTCTGGTAGGGCAAAGCTTCCTTTCAACCTTCTTGAAATCTCACCCCTTCAATTTAGTATAATTTATCTCTCCAAATATTTGTTATCTGGTTATGTATCATGTGCATGATAGAAACGGTCCCTTCTGGCTGTCTGGTTTTCTAGCTTTTTTTTTTTTTTTTCTTTTCAAAGTTTTATTGATAAACATATAGCAATGAGACAGTTTCAAATCAAATCGAAAGTACAGTTTCAACAAATAATACACTGCATATATTCTTCTTAGTGGTTAATTGCTGTACAAGATGTAGACTTGTGATCCTACTTACAAACACCATTAGAAAAAATCATTCTATTCATTAAGAGAATGCAACTATATATCTATCCCAACCACTTTGAATACACAGATACAAAATGGACATTCATATGGTTTTCTAGCTTTTAAGGCAAAGAGGCCATTGCTAAAAAGCTAACTTCCCTGACTAGAGGGCAGCTATTATATCTTCTGAGAGAAGATTACAAAAGTAATACAGTGGACCCATGCCACATAGAACAGGCTATAGGAATATACATAGAAAATAATATATGGACTGATAGGTAAGCCATTATAAAGACTAGACACTATATTTCTGGAATTACTACTTTAAAAAAATCTTTTATTTATGTATTTATTTGGTACAGGATCTCATTATGCAGCTCAGACTCATAGTGATCCTCATGCCCCAGTCTCCCCAGTGCTGGGATTACAGGCGTGCACCACCATTCCCAGTTTTAGGCATGGGGCCGGCAGAGAATGTGGTATTAGAGATTGAACCCAGGTCCTTGTGCTTGCCAGGCAGGTGCTTAGACCGCCGAGCTATCTCCCCAGTCCCTGGAATTACTACTGCTTGATATTCTTTAGATTTTTGTAAAACATTTACATAAATTTAAGTAATTGACTTAATTTTTAATTGAGTAATTCATTTTATATGTCAGATCAGTATAGTTTTTCTTTTTTTGATTGCCTATGTGTCATCTTTCTTTTTTTTATAGAACTGTATTGCTGTTAATAAGAATTATCCTTGAATATTGCCAGTGTGTGGATAACATCCCATCTGTTACTACTGACATGCTTACTCGTCTGTCAGATTTACTGAAGGTGTGTATGACTTCACTTTATAAAAAATTGTTGGAATAATTGACTTACTAGACTATAACTAATCTCTAAACTCTAAGACATTTCAAGTTATCATTAAGGCATTAATTTTGTAATATTTGATCATGGTTACATCACAACATGTTACTGGAAAAAGGGCTGTCTGCTTCCTTCTCACTCCACATTAGTGATCCTCCCTCATTGCACCCATAGAGTTGTTAATGACATTGGAGACAGGAGATGATTTGTTCGTTAGGTGCTGAGCATGACTGAGGCCACTTAGGTCAAAAAACCTGGACTGGTTTCACATGTGCATGGAAGGAATTCACTGAACTTTACAAAATTCATCTCACTAAGGTTAGAGATTTTTCTTACATCATTCTTTCAGACCATTGATGTAAAATGAAAATGTGGTGATAATTTTGTTCAGCCATTTCATACTAACATACTTTTACTCCTAGTATATAGGAAAGGTTTTATATTTTTTGAAACCCATATTTTATTGGTTAATTTTATCCTGAACTTTAGTTTTAGTGAAGAAAATAAGACAGAATTTTGAAACTGAGCTAGCTTCTGAGTGAAAATTTCTAAAAACTGATTTCTATTTCTCAATTTTTTTCTCCTACCAGAGGTAAATATTAATAAGGTTTAGAATTTCTCTTCACCATTTTCATCAAGAATGTTTTTAGAACAGTTAACACATTGCCAGCATATAAAGATTGGTTTTCAAATAAATTGTTGAGATTGTATTTTTCTCCTTCTTTTGTTAGTACTTCAATTCAAGAAGTTGCCAGTTAGTTCTTGGAGCTGGGGCAATGCAAGTTGTTGGACTAAAAGCAATAACTACAAAAAATTTGGGTATGGATTCTTCCATTTAATTCACATACTAAGATGTTATAATAATATCACTTTTCTTTTCTTTTTTTTTTTTTTTTTTGGTGGATCTAGTGATTGAACTCAAGCTACTGATTTTGCTGAGCTGTCTCCCTGGCCCCACTTTTCTTTTTTTCTAAAAATACAATTTAATAGAAATTTAGAAACACTTCCTGAGCAGCAGAAAGACAACAGTTGTTACTTTTCTTATCATGTTTTTATTATACCTGATGTTTTAATGACCCTAAGCAAAGTGACAACTACTACTTCATTATCTTATGTATTATAACTGAAAAACTAGCTGAGATGGTGATTGAGACCGGTCATGGTGGCACACACCTGTAATCCCAGCTCTTGGGAGGCTGTACACAGGTGGATCACTACGAGTCCAATCTAGTAGTAAGACCCTGAACACCTGTAGACCCTTCCTTAAAATACAGAGGAAAAAAAAAAAAAAAGAAAAACTAATCTCTGGGGAAATGGTATGAGGAAGTTCAACTGTAACAGGTATAAATAATTTGGAAACTGCATCACTTTAGAAAGCATTAAGTTGTATTTTGTATGCAGTATTTTGGGCTGAAGGATATTGAAATATCAGAAGAGAATCAGGGTCTTGTTACTGTCCTTATACTAGAACATCTCACAACTGAAGTCCCTTGGGAAAGTTCATTATATTTTTCAGTACCAAATTATTTTCTTAAGAAAAATAAAACATGTTGCCTTCTGCCCTGGTATTCCTCCTTTATGAAATAAACTAAAGTCTGTATAAAATTGACCTTTTTACTTAATTTGATTTGTAATTAAAATCAGCTAATATCTTTTTTTGTTTCTATTACATATCCACTTTTCAGCTCTTGCTTCACGATGTTTGCAGTTAATTGTGCACTACATTCCTGTGATCCGAGCTCATTTTGAAGCTCGACTACCACCTAAGCAATATAACATGCTTAGGCACTTTGATCATATCACTAAGGTATTTCCCATGTGTTTTCTTTCAAGTATCATAAATCTAATTCCTTAATTGTTAAGTATTTTTGCATGTGTCTCAGGAACTTTAAAATACAGTACTGTTTCTCATTACAGGATTACCATGACCACATAGCTGAAATATCAGCGAAGCTTGTAGCGATAATGGATAGCTTATTTGACAAGCTGTTATCAAAGGTAACAATTTATGAAAATCATTAGGCGTTTCTTACAAAGGCATTGTGACTTTCCATTTTGTGGAGATTCTTTATATACAAGTTAAGATGTGATAACAAGAAAATCTAAATTTTCAGAAAATTTAGATTGGTAGAATTTTTAAGTTTTCCAGAAAAACGTGGCTATCTGCCATGACCAAGGCTACTTATAAGTGGTCCAACCAGTCTAGCAAGTCAGATACCCCAGAATTTAGAAACAACTCATGAAATTGTTCAGATTGCCCAAGGAGTTGATATATATCTTCTAAAGTGCTAGAGGGAGTAGGGGAGATGATTCTAACAATAATAGAAACTTTCCACAAGGTATTTTTTAATATTAGTTGCATTGACAAATGTATACCATCTTCAAAATACAATGGACCCTTGAGTCTGACCAGTTTAACAATGAATAACTTAGGTTATAACCAGAATTTTAGTTTTAACTTATGACCAAAATCTTGAGTTATGACCCTGATGCTGGCTACCTATGCTTCAAGATGGTCTCAGATATAGATTTAACCCTTACAGAGTTCTGAAAGGAACATTACAACATCCCTTCTTATATGGAGTTTATTGGGAAATCCTGGGCCAATGTTTCTGTAAGGACACAGATCTGCCAGTATACAGGAGAAAGACTTTGAAGGCTGTGTAGAGGAGCCGGAGCCTTCAGTTGACAACTTGAATTACAACCAGCCCTTGGGAACCAATTGAATTTGTAACTTGAGGGTCCGTTGGAAACTTTAATTTGAAGGCCTTCCAGAAACAGAATAGAAAGAACAAAGATTTAGATAGGAAAATTGTTTACTCCAGTGTTTGTTTCTGTTTTGCTTTTCGTTCCCAGTAGGTTATTAAACAAAGTGATATTCTCTACAGACTTCTGAACTACAATGGGAGGATATTTTCAGGAAAATGTCGTTTAATCAGTCCAGTTGCTTTTGCCCTATCCTTTTCCCTAAGTTCTTCAATCCATGTCTTAAGATGAAAGTGTAAATTTTATAACCTGAAAGTCTGAAGGCTTCTTTAGTGTGTATATTCTTGGTCCCATTTTAGACTAAGAAACTTTGATTTGCTTTTCCTCCTACTTGGATCCTTCAGATTCTGAAATTGTAGAAATAGCAGGCATATGAGAAGCATAAAAGGACAAGATAAAATGATGCCCATATATATACATAGATGTGTCTACTCCTTTGCAAATGACATTCACAAAAGAATGCTTGGAAAATAAAGCTGCATTGGTGTAGTAGTTCTTAAGTTTAAGTCAGAGGACCCCTTAACATCCTTAAAAATATTTAAGAACTTCAAGGAACTTTTATTTATATAATTTATCAGTAAGCACACCATATTACAAATTAAAACTATGGTATTTAAGAATGCACAAAATACAAGAATATACAGCCATACTTTCTGTTTTCAGAATGATAGCATCACTACAAGTCATCTAAAAATCCCCACTATTTAATCATGAAAGAAGGAGAGTTCAAGAAGATAACTAAGATCTTAGTACTATTATGAAAATAGTTTTTATTTATTAGATTCCTTGAAAGGATCTGTGACACCCAGGAGCTCCCAGACCACACTTTGAAAAGTGTGATTGATCACCTTCTCATTTAAGAAGCTTAAAGAATTTATAATTGTGTGCACACAAACCTTTCTATTTATGACTATTTTTATGACTATTAAGTTTCTAGTTCTGTATGAGAAAAATTGGAAATTCTTTTTTTGTAGGTATCAAGTACAAACTAACATCAAAAGCAATTCTATTTCACCAATTTCCTTTTTTATATAAGACATTTGTCTGTATAACAAAGGTCACTAACATATTCCATTTTTAAGAAGTTTACCATGTAATAAAGTAGAAGATTGTAAACTGCTGACAGTGTAGAATCAATGTTAAATGAGTAAAATTAGTAGTAAGCTGTGGAAAATAATGAAAGCAAAATCAAGAATGTGTTAATACTTCTAAAATCCCAACTTTAATTTTTTATTTTGATCACACACAGTTTTTGAGTAAGAATTCCCCTGTGACAACTTGATTTATTGTTTTTTCTGAAAAGAAAAATATTTAGCTAGCTTCCTCTATCTTTACCTTCATCACTTATATTTAAGTTAATAACGTTTTGCTGAAGTATTTTAAAATAATTTTGAGAAATTACAATATTTCTAAATACTTAAGTACAATTTTTTAAACTAAAAAACACATTCTTCATAATACCATTTTCACACCTAACAAAATTAACCATAATTCTTCAATGTTACCTTTTTTAAAAAAATACATTTGAAAAAAAAAAATACATTTGGTACAGGGTCTCACTACGTAGCTCAGACTCATAGTGATCCCCCTATTTTCAGCCTCCCCAGCGCTGGGATTACAGGAGTGCACCACCATGTCCAGGGGCGGGGTCAGCTCGGCCTGTAGTGCTGAATGTTATCTATTTTTATATTTGAAAATGAATAATTATCCAGAAATATCTTTTTATAATAATTTATTGAACAAAACCTTCTACTTGATTCATTCATTGCATCTGATTATTATGTTTTGTTTTGTTTGTGCAAAGTAGTACACTTTCTCCCTGTTGCTGTTTGCTTGGAATTTTTAGTTTTAGTATTATTTACTTGAGGAATATGGACAGGCTACTTAATGTTTTTTCCTGATTTTCTCCACTGTTATCTTCTGTTACCTGGCATGTCTTTGTATTAGTAAGTCTCTCTTTGTCAGTCCCTATCCTATTTGATTTTTGTGTTGCTTGAGAATTTAATCCTGTTTTTTAATTTATACCAAAATAATAGACAAGTTTGGCTTTTGATTTGCCTTTCAGTTTTTAGCTTTTATTTTCTTACCCGAAAATTTAATTTTGGAAACAGAGGCCTAATGTAACAAACACTAATTCTAATAAGCTAATAAGTAGAGTACAATTGTGTAGTTAGAGTAAACCATTAATATCCTATTATACAGCTAATGTTTTAGCCACCACTCATGCATTCTGTAAATTACATGCAAGCCATTGTGTAGGAAATAGAGGAATATGTAAGAGTAAATCAGCCTTCCAAATCTTCTCAAATAGCAAAGTATCTAGAAAGGGAAATGTATCAATAACTATAAGAAGAGGTAGAATATGTAAAATATTATAAATAAAGAAGTGATTTAGGAGAACTCTTAATGCTCTTGTTCCAGGAGATTAAGAAATTTTGGGCATCTTCTTGATTGTTACAACTTGGTGATGGAGGACAAGGTGCTACTACTGCTAATGAATAAGTAGAAACCAGGGATATGCTAAATGTTTTATAAGATACAGGATAGCACCTAAATACCCAAAATGACAATAGTGTGGAAGTTGAGAAACTCTGACCTGGAGAACAAACTAATGTCCAAAATAATTTGAAAGTATAATTGGTGAGACTTAGCTATTGATTTAATACAAGAAAACACAGAAGAGTAAAAACTGAACCAGAGATCTAAGTTGTGTGTGTGAGAGAGGCTGGGAGGATTATATAATAGCAGTAACAATAAAACAGGGAGATAAACTAGGATTGGAAAAATCATGGTAAAATTAATGTTGGAATGGAATACCTAGGAGATATGAGACTTAAATCCGAAAGAGTTGTTAAGTAGAAGGCATGATATTGAATGAAATTGATGAGCAAGAAGAGGGCACATTGTGGGGGATTAGAGAGGAAGAAGCCTTGTACTTAGATGACTAGAGACTGGGGAAGAGGAAGGTCAAAAGTGGAAGAAACAGGAGGCATACTGCTATGTAGGATAGGGTTTAAAGTGTGACAGTGTAACAGTGCCACAGAGTGATGAGGAAGGAAAGTGAGGAAAGGTACTAAATTTGGAAGTTAGGATGTCTTGACTGGTTTTTTCCACAGAGAAATTTTTGAAGAATATTATAGTATGGGAAAGCAGTTTGAGTGTTGACAAAAAAAAAAAAAAAAAAAAAAAACCAAGAATTTTAATGGCTGAGGGTAAAGTACTGAGTCATGTGTAGGTGAAAGATGAAATGTGATAGTGAAAGTAAAATGAAAAAGAATATTTTTATAGAAAACAGTATCTACCATTTGTAAACCTGAACAAAGCTCTTGGGGGAGCATATTTTTTTTTTAGTCATGCTGTAAGCAATTACCACAAACTAGATTACTTTAAAAACAAAGTTTTTCTCAATTCCAGAGACTAAAAAATCTCAAATCAAGCTATCAGACAGGTCATCCTCTATATGAGGACTCGAGAAGAAGCCTCCCTTGCTTCTTACTAGCTTCTGGTGATTGCTGTCAGTCCTTGACTTGGAGCTGCATTACACCAAAACCTACCTCTAACTTCAGATGGTTTTCTTCCTTTTGTGCATCTCTGTCTGGATTTCTTTCTTTTCTTATATAAAAACACCAGTTAGGGATGGGGACATAGCTCTGCAATCTAGGAGCTTGCCTGGCAAGTGCAAGGACCCAGGTTTGGTCCCCCATACCACATGCCATGCGGGCCCTGGTACCTCATTCCATGCTGGCCACTGAACTGTGTGTGGTGATACACACTTGTATTCCCAATGCTGAAGAGGCTGAGACAGGAGAATTACTATGAGTCCAAGCTACATAGGGAGACCCTGTACCAAATAAGTAAAAGTAAAAAATAAATAAATAAATAAAATAATACTAATGACACTAATCAATGGATATCAGGCACACTAATCCACTATGACCTCAAGAAGTACCAAGTAGACATGAATTAAGGAGGCACTTTTTATCAGTACAGAGGGGTAAAGATGTTACCACATGAAATAACACTTTCATACTCACTAGAATAGCTTTTTTTAAAAAACAAGTTTTAGCGAAATTAAAGTCTTCATATATATATATATATATATCTAGTGGTATTGTAAAATGGTCCAGCCAGTTTAGAATATAATTTGACATTTCCTCATAAAATTAAGTGTGCATCTTGAGAATAGTGAAGACAATAATACAATCCAAAGTACCTTAGCATAATTCTCATTATTTTTCTCTGTTAGTATGAGGTGAAAGCTCCTGTACCTTCGGCCTGCTTCAGGAATATTTGTAAACAAATGGCAAAAATGCATGAAGCTATATTTGATCTTCTTCCAGAAGAACAAACACAGGTGAGTAGTAATTCCCTGAACTACTCATATATATATATATATATGACATATACTGTACTATCCATGCAGATTGGTATATTTTTACATGCTTTTGTCATAAGTTTAGTTTGTGTTCTAGTATGATCTTACCTCTTTTTAGGTTTTGTATTAGTGTAAGATATTTAAAATTTTCTAACTGCCCTTTGTTCTGAGAGGAGAAAGCTATAACTTTGCTACATGGTCAGTAGATTTTTCATTTGCCCATTAGAGGTTTCAGATTCTACTTACATCACTCATTATTAGTTTGAAAATCAGAGTTGGCTTTTATCAATGAGTAGTAAAAATATGTTAATTCGCTGTAATTGTAATCCATACTGGATATATAAAGAGTTAGGGATGGAGTTAATAAGAACGCACATAACCAGTGATCAATCTGCTTGACTGTTAGAATTTATTGAATTGACATAAATGATCTATAGTAGAAAAACATAGGAAAAGAAAGGTCTTTGACACCTCTCACCTATGAAGTATTCTCCCTGTCTCCCTTGCAAGTGTTCCCTCCAAAATGTTAGTTTTCTTTACTGGCCACACACACACACACACACACACACACACACACACACTATATTGTTTTTTTTCCCTCCTGAAACTTTGAAGGTTCCAACATTTCTTTTTTCCCCCAGTCTTTACTCTAACTTAGTACTTTTATATCAGGTAATCTCATTAAAGCCTAGTTGTAGAGTGACTAATGATGTTATAAGCCTAGTTGTTTAATGTATAAATGAATTTAAATTTCACTGGGATTTTTGCTATTTGAACAAGTTTACTTTGGTTTGTGTCTAATTGTACATAGAAATGGTTTTAGGAGTAGATGGGCCTACTCTTTCACCTAATGGCCTTCCTTCTCATATCTCTCATACTTCTGTCCTATACTAGATATAATAATTTTTTCATATTTTTTAGGTTTCTTATTAATTATACCAACTTCATGATTAAATCTCTCCCTGCTCTCTTATGGTACACTGAAATCCGAGGGGGAATATAAGATATGATTTATCCACTGGGTCTTTTGATTTCTTCCTAATCAACCCATTATTTTCATTCCACATGCAAAATCCCTCACTGCTGATGTTCTGAGCTTTTGTACTTGTTATCTAAGTAACTTAAGAGGAAAACAGCCAGATCATGTAGCTGGTTATATAGATACTTCATATTTTTATCTGCATCATAATTTAAAGATACTCTTGTCAAAGCCTCATAAAAGTTAATAGGTTTTGCTGGAGTAAAAGTACATGCCTATAATCTCAGTACTTGGGAAACTGAAGTAGGAGGATAAGAAGCTCAAGGCTAGCCTGGCTACCTAGTGAGTTCAGGGGTGGCTTAGACTGCATACTGAGACTCAAAAAACAAAGCAACAACCAAACAAAATTACTATATATTTTATGTCATTAATTGCTACCTGAATACCAAAACTATACAAAATTTCTGTGATTGTATATACACATTTTTTATAGAAAATACATAGTTATATATGATTATAAATCTGTTGTTTGGGGGGCCTGGCCCTAGCTCAGTCCTTTAAGTGGCTGCTTCCACAAAGCTGTCAGCCTCAGGTTGCTGGAGTTCGAACCTCACAACTCTCCCGCTGGCCAAAAGTGCCCTGAAGGCATTCGAGGAAGAAAAAAAAAAAAAAATCTGTTGTTTCCCAGCGAATTGGTGAGCCACTGCATTGAAGATCTGCATATAAGAGTAATAAAATACTTTGAAATGATTTTATTAATATAAAGTTATGTCTTGTCAATGTCTTTTTTTTCTCTATCAAGTTTCTAGTTAATATATTATAAAATGTTTCACTACTTTTTGTTCTTTTTACCTATCATAGTTTACCACACTTACAAAGCGTACAGGAATCCTTTCAATCTACAGAAAGGTAGTCTTATTTCTAAAAAAGAAAAAAAATTACTACTGAGGACAAGAAAGAGCTTTTTTCCAACTGAGGAAAACCAGTGAGGTTGAAGTTAAATACTTTCAGAGAAATTCTGAAAGTATATGTCAATTTTTTTTTTTTTTTAATCTTTTACTTATTTATTCATCTGGTACAGGGTCTCACTATACAGCTCAGACTTGTAGTGATCTTCCTGTCTCAGCCTCCCTAGTGCTGGGATTACAGGTGTGCCACCATGCCTGGTTTCAGTGGCCTGCATGGGACACCCGTGATTCCAGGGCTGGCATGTCACATAGTGGGCTTGTGCCCACTGGGTCCTTGCACTTGCCAGGCAGGTGCTTACACCATCAAGCTGTCTCCCCAGCCCTGTTTTGTTTTTTAAAAATACATTCTCCAGATAATATTGCTAACTCAATTACTTATATTTTCTATTTCAGGAGATCTTTAAGAAATTTAAATTTTATTTCTTTTCTAGATGTTATTTTTAAGAATTAATGCAAGTTACAAACTTCACTTGAAAAAGCAGTTGAGTCACTTAAATGTGATAAATGATGGAGGACCTCAAAATGGGTATGATTTTTAATATATTTTTATAATATATTCCATATTGAATTACTTTAACTATTGATCTTTATTCTTTATGCTGTTCTTTTTTACTGTAATCATAATTGGAAACCAAAATTGTAAATTGTCTTTTGCCTTTTTTTTTCCCCCTTATAGAAGTGATCTCTCTCTGCATTCCTCATTCTGTCCTTCGTGCTGTGTGTGTGTGTATTTTAAAGTGGTTTATAAATGATCACTTCCTTACCTACCTGGTTGTTTTTAGTATTGAACATGGAACCCATAGCCTCATCCATGCTAGACAACCACTTTACTTCTCAGCTCTCTTAAAAAATATTTTTACTTTGAGACAGTGTCTCACTAAATCCAGTTACCTGGGCTGGCCTTGAACTTATGATCCTTCTGCCTCAGTCTCCCAAGTAGTTGGGGTTATAGGCTGTATCTCTTCAATTTATTTTAAAGAATATATTGTGTTTTCTTAAATGCTAAAGAAATTTCAGGCTATTATGGAAATGAATTTTAGAGAAATGTATTTTGGGGTCAGAATTTGGCTTTGCTATTAAACAACAAATAATACACCAAATTAATTAAAAACAAAAAAACTATTTGAAGTGTTTAGTTTGCATTATTACCTGATTGTACTTAAAGAATTCTTGTTTTCAAAAAATTCAGGGAGATAGTTCAGTGAGAGTTTGAGGTCTTAGGTTTAATTTGCAGTACTGTAATTAATTAAATCAAATCAACTTCAGAGCCACAAAAGAATTAAAGCCAGTATAACAGTGAGGATCTCTCATCTAGCTCATTTAGATTTGCTAATGGTTAAAACCTCATTACATTTTTCTTATCACTCTCTCCTTCTCTCCTTATACCCTTCAGACACACACGCACGTTCCTTTTATCAAACATCCAAAAAGTAGACCACAATTACCATGAGGTTTAAACCCTAAATTCTTTGGCACAAATCTCTAAAAATAATGGAATATTTGTAAAATTGTAACCCTAAGAAAATCAGCATTAACAGAACATTAAGAATGTTTTTAGTACAACATTAAGATCACCACACTACATGAATTTTCTACTTGATGTCAAGTGATACAAATAACACATACATATGGTACCTGCTGTTGAACTTTCTTTTGAAAAGATAATCACATATTAAGAACTTAGGGATTCTACAGATGTGTATTGTGCCCTGAACCAACTGTTCAGAAAAAAAAAAAAAAAAAAAATCAAAAAGCAAGTATCTTAAGACACACTGGAGCTCATACCCATATTTTAATTTCCGTAGCTAAAGCTGGGTAGATTGGTTGGCAGTTTTCAGATCAGTGATTCTGAGGCATCCAACCTACCATATTGCTATTATTTTTTTTGTTAACACAGCTAGTTTGACCATCCAGCAGAAAAGTATAAAAACGAGGTATATAAAGTAAAGCCATATTAATAGGATGAGCTGTAAAAGGCTCAATTCAATAACTTCTGAGGATAACCCACTAATATTAGAGACTGCTAGACAGTGTTAGATTGTTTAGTTGAATTGAAACACCTATAAAATTTAGATGCCAATAGAATATTCACTTCTGACAATAAAAAAGATACAAAGGAATGATCATTTTGTATTTATATATACAAAATAGGATAAATTTACAGCTACTTTCACTTAATTCAAAGAGAAGAAAGAGTTGTACTAACAGTGTTTGGACAGAATATCCTGTCTGCTGCTTGTACTGTGGATAACCACTAAGAAGATAACAATGTACAATGTATTATCAAAACTGTCCTATTAATCAGCTGTGAAAAAAAATAAAGTTTACTTCTAAAAAAAACACAGCTTGTTGGGGATCAATATTATCTTAGAGATCTTTATTATTGCTTAACTTACAGAAATTCTATGTAGGTCAAGTCAAGCTTTTGAATGATCTCTTGGAAGTTAGGTACCTCTGAAAACATCCATGCTATAGCAAGAACATAACAAACTGCTTTAAAGAAGTTTTGTTTCTAAAAATCACTCTAAAAATATACTTTTTCCTTTTTTATTTTAAGTGAAACTTAGTTAATATCAGATTTTATTATGAACAATTCTGTGGCATTTAATGCATTCAGAATGTAGTGCAACCATCATATCTATATCTAAAACATTTTATCTACTCTAAGGAAAAGCCCAATTGAATATTGGGCAATTGCTTCCTGTTCCTCTCTCTCTCTCTCCTATCATATACTTTTAATGTAGTTTTCTTTTTGTCTATTTAAAGATAATTTTCAAATATAGAGATGTATAGAAAATAAAATATTTATATTCTAGCTTCCCAGAATTAATCATTAGCTTTTTCATTTTTACTTGAAAAAATTTTTTACTTAAAAATATTTGTCATATTTTTAAAATAACTTTAAAAATGGAATTCTAAATGAAGCTGAAGTACATTTTGACAGTCCATTTCTTCTTCCATTCCCTTTTCTCGCAACCTTTTGGAATCATTTGATCTGTATCCTTTGACTCCTTATTTATTTTCTCTGCATAATGAAAAACATGTGCTATTTTGTAATTTGCTTGTATGGTATATTGGACATAAGTAACTACTTTTTCCTATTTGACATCGTTACTGATTTATGTGTTTTGGTATATGGAAGAACAGCTGGCTGTCCATATCTGCAGGTTCCAACTGCAGACAAAACAAAAAAAGAAAAAAGAAAACAATTGTACTGAAAATATATGGATTTTTTTCATTTTTTCTAAGAAATAAGGTATAATGACTATTTATAGAACATTTATATCATATTCAGTATATTACAAGTAATCTTGAATTATGTAGTGTTAGAGGATGTATATAGCTTATATACAAATAATGTGCCATTTTAGGGGACTTGAACATCCACAGCTTTTGGGAGGTCTTGAAATCAGGATACCAAAGATGAATGCAGTCCTTTTTTGAGGGCTGTGTAATTAATCACATTAAGTGTTCATTTCCTCTGGTGATAGAGTTACACACCATTACTTTTTTCCATCACAACCTGCCATAGTAAAGAAACTTTTATATCTGTGCAATACTGAGATCATTTCTACAGCATAGTTACTTATAACTATATGCACATTTTTCTTCTTCTAGGTATTGTCAGTGGCTGTATCAAGTTTACACTTCCACTGTTAGTTTATGACAGGTTTTTTTTTTTTTTGGGGGGGGGACAGTTTCTTTCATTTTTTTGGTGACATTTTCTATTTCCAACCCCGTTTGTTTATTCAGGAACAGAGAATATCTTTCCATTCTCTGATGTCTTCTTAAATCTCCTTTTTTCTGAGTACCTCTTTGCTTAGGATAATTTCTAATTGGTTTTTTCTGATACTATTGTGCATTTTCTTTCTTTTTTTTTGTGGTACTGGGAATCAAACTCAGGACCTTGCACTTGGCAGGCAGGCGCTATGCTGCTGAGCTATCTCTCTGGCCCCTCTGATACTATTGTGAATGGTATTGTTTTCCTAAGTTCTTTTTTCTTGAGTTTATTACTGGTATACAAGAATGATATTGACTTCTGCTTGTTTACTCTGTATCCTTCTGCGCTGCTAAATTTGTTTTTTTTTTTCCTCTTCCTATTCCTCCTCCTCATTCTCTTCTTCCTTCTCTTCTCCTTGTTCTCCTCCTCCTTTTATTAATTCTAGGAATCTTTGGTGCAGTGTTGGGAGTCTTTTATGTAGAGGATCATATCATCTATAAATAATGAGAATTTGACTTCTTCCTTTCCTACATATTTCCTTTTAATTTTTTTCTGTTTGATTGCTCTGTTTAATATGTTAAGAACTATAGGAGTGTTGATAGTAGACATCCTTATCTTGGTCCTGACTTTAGAGGGAAGCTTTCAGTTTTTCCCATGTACTGTGCTTTTGGCAGTAGGCTTTTTTATAAATCACTTTTATCACATTGAGATAAGGCCTTTCTGTACTATTTTCTTCAAGATTTTTTTTATCGTGAGTAGATGTTAGATTTTGTCAAAGGCTTTTTCTAAACTTGTTGAGATCTGGTCTTGTTTCTGTTTATGTGATGCATTACATTTATTGATTTATGTATATTGATCCAGTCTTGCATCTCAGGGATAAAGTCTACTTGGTCATGATTTGTGATCTTCATGATGATTCGTTGCATTCTGTTTGCCATTATCCTATGGAGAATTTTTGTATCTATGTTTATTAAGGTATTGTAGATTTTTAGTTGGGTCCTTTTCTGGTTTTTGATGTAGGGCAGTGGTTATTTTTCTGTTGTAGATTTGTTTATTTTCCTTGATTGCTCAGTCTAGTTCATATATTCGGTCCATTAGACTTTTTATTGGTTTCATCCTTGAGAATTGTATTTAGAGACTTGATTTGGTGGTCATGAATTTCTTGGAGTATTCTATGACATGGAATATTCTTATTCCTCCATCAGTTTTGAAAGATAGTTTTGCAGTATACGTTAGTCTGTGTTGAAAGTTGTTTTCTTGGGCTGGGGAGATAGCTCAGTGGGTTAAGTGCCTACATGGCAAGAAGAAGGTGATGAGTTTGATCCCTGATACTGGAAGAAAAAAAGAAAGAAAGTTGTTTTCTTTCAGTGTTTGAAACACCTCAATCAAGCTCTTTTGGCCTTTAAAGTTTGTATTGAAAAGTCTGATGTGACCCTATTGGGTTTATAATTTTTTTTTTTTTGGGCTTTTCTCTTAATAGCTTTTGCATTGGAATTGTGGGACATCAGCTATGATGCTTCTTCTCTCATAATTATTTGGAGTTTGGTATCTCTCACTTACCTGTATAATTGAGTTCTTGTGCCATTCTTGAAAAGTTTTCTGGTATGATTTCTCTAAGCAGATTGTGTGTGTGTGTGTGTGTGTGTATCTGCTCTCTAATCTCTGACTGTAATTAGTCTTAGTCTTCATCTAGTAGCTGTTGGAGCAATTTTCTTGCTCTTCTCTTGCCCTTAAAGTATCTCTAAATATAGCCTTGTACTTTTTATCTGTCTTTAAAGTCTGATACTCTCTCTGTTGTCATGTCT